TTCTTCTTCTTCTTCTTCTTCTTCTTCTTCTTCTTCTTCTTCTTCTTCTTCTTCCTTCTTCTTCTTCTTCCTCTTCTTCTTCTTCTAAGACAGGGTTTCTCTACATAGGTCTGGCTGTCCTAGAACTTGTTCTGTATTCCTGGTTGACCTTGAACTCAGAGATATACTTGCCTCTGCTGCCCGTGCTGGGATCACAGGCGTGCACCGCACCCAGCTTCTGCACTATTTTCCTCTATCCCTATCTTCATATATCACAAATCTCCATTTCCAACTAGCCTAGACCCTAAACTCTATCCTTGACTATAAAATGGAATGGAAACATTTAGAAAATAGAAAAACAAAACACTCCAACTATAGAAAAGAAAGTTGTTGAACCAATTTAGAGCTATGATCTACCTAAAACACTTTCAGGCAACTCACGTGAAGCAAGCACCTGTCAGGACACCACCGAAAACTAGCTTTTTTCTTTTTGCTTTTGTTTCCGGAGATAGGGTTTCTCTGTGTAGCACTGGCTTTCCTGGAACTTGCTCTGTAGACCAGGCTGGCCTCAAACTCAGGAAAAGATCTGCTTGCATCTGCCTGAGTGCTGGGATTAAAGGCATGTGCCTCCACCACTCAACTGGAACAGTTTTTCAGTCTTGTTTTGTGCTGGTGACTTAAGGGTTTTGTTTTTGGTTTTTTTTGCTGTGATAAACACGACGGCCAAAAGCAACTGGGAAAGGAGAGGGTTTGTTTCAGCTCACAGCTCTCAGGTCACCCCCTGAGAGAAGGGGAAGGCAGGGCAGGGCCCACAGCAGGAATCTGGAGGCAGGAGCTGATGGAGAGGCTATGGAGGCGCACTGCTTACTCACTCGCTCAGACTGTTTTTTTAACCCAGAACCACAAGCACAGGGGCGGCACCGACACTGAGCTAGGCCTTTCCATATCAATCACCAACCAGGAAAATGCCTAACAGACTTACCTACAGGCGAGTCTTATGGAGGCACTTTCTTTCTGTTGTTTTTTGTTTGAGAAAGGGGTTCTCTGCATCCTTAGCTGTCCTGGACTTGATCTTTAGGTCAGGCGGATGGCAAACTCACAGAGATCTGCCTGCCTCTGCTTCCTGAGTGCTGGGATTAAAGGTGTTGCTACTGAGCTCAGCTTGGAGGCACTTTCTTGATTAAGATTCCTTCTTTCCACATGGCCCTAGCTGTGTCAAGTTAACATTGAAAACTAGCTATCACAGCTAGTGAGGTGTCTCGGTGTGTAAAGAAAGGCATTGTCTCTTGAGCCTGATGTCCCATATTCAACCCCCAGTTCGGTGGTAGGAGGGAATCAACTCCTGCCATTTATCCTCTGGTCTGAGCAACGTGGCATGTGTGCCCACATGTATAAACTCATGCATACCTACATTGTATTTATTATATTTACAAACACAGAGGCAGGCAGCTCTCTGTGAGTTCCAGGACAGCCAGGGCTAGATTTATAAGGTTTTTAACTCCGTGTAATTATGTGTGCCAGATGCCTTGGAAGCCAGAAGAGAATGTCAGATACCTTGTTACCAAAATTAGGAATGGTCTGTGAGTCACCATGTGGGTTGGTATCTTCTGCAATAGCAACAAGTGTTCTTTCTTTCTTATCCAAACATGTATACCTGTGCCCCAGAAGAGGGCACCAGATATAGATGGATATGAGGGAATTGAATTCAGGACCTACCTCTGGAAGAGCAGCCAGTGCTCTTAACCTCTGAGCCATCTCTCCAGTTCTTTAAAAAAGACAAATCAAAAACCAAAATATTTTAAGTCTTCACCATGTGTAGGTGCCCACAGAAGCTGTAAGAAGGCACTGGATCTCTGTAGCTGGAGTTACAGGTGGCTGTGAACTCCTTGGTGACAGTGCTAGGAACTGTGTTGGGTCCTCTCGAAGGGCAGCAAACAGTACTTTCAACTACCACGCCACCTCTCCATCCCCTTGCCTTTTTTATTGTTGGTTTTGTTTTGACTTTCAAGACAGGGTTTCTCTGTGTAGTCTTGGCTGTCCTGAACTTTGTAGACCAGGCTGACCTCAAACTCACAGCAATCGCCTTGCCTCTGCCTTCCTGAGTGCTAGGACTAAAGGCAAGCGCCACCCCGCCCAGCTTTCTCCTTATTTTAAAGCCGTGGCTTTCCGTAGCCTGTGCTGATATGTACCCAAGAATGATGTTGACTTTCTAGCCTTCCTGCCTCCATCTCTGGACTGCTGGATTAGAGGCACAGACCAGCACGCCCACTTATGATACATGGAGATTGAGCCCAGAGATTCACGCACACTAGAGAAGCACTCACCAACGGACTCATTCCAGACTGCCCGAGCCCGGAGCTGGGACACGGCTTGACGGTTAAGAGCACTTGCTATTCCCAGCACTCACGTGGTGGCTCAGATCTTTCATTCCAGTTCCAAGGGACCTAGTGTTCTATGATGGCTTCTGCAGGCATCAGGCACACAAGTAGTATATGTGTGCCACAGGCTATACATCTTGTAGCGAAACTCACTGTTAGGTCTTAAACCCAGAACATTTTCCCAGGTTTGTAACCTAACACTCACCCACCCTCTTGCCTTTTAGAAATACAAACATGTACCATGAAGTCAGCTCAAGAATAGAGCTGAAACTTTCCCTTAGTTACTATGCCTCAAGGGGCATCAGATTCCCTGAAAAAGTTCTTCTCTGTGGTTGAGACACCCTCAAGCAGCTGAGGCTGGCCTGAACTGACATGGAGCTGAGTGAGACCTAGAACCTCAGCTCTTCCAACTCATCAAGTACTCATTACAGGCATTTGTCCCACACTTGGCAAAATTTTACAACTTAGACTTTTATTCTTATAACGTAAGAATAAAATGTGAAGCGAGCCATTAATTAAACACACACACAATGCTTCCCAACTCTGCCCTCCTTGCAGGGGTCATGCTTTTGTTCCACTTTTAGTGGATGTGCTGCTGAAGCACACACCATGTTTTTTTTTTTTTTTTTTAATTTCAAACAGATTCCAGGTCCAGGCTCTAAACTTGAGCACTGAAAAAAGAATGTTGGCATATATCTTTAGGTCTCAAAGCCTAAAGTGTGCACCTGTGTAAGGAGCTCAGGGGATGGATAACCTCAGGTGTTGGCCTTTATCTTCCTTTCTGTCATTCATGTGCACGCTGAGTTAGCAGGCCTAAGAGTTTCCTGGGCTTCTGTCTCTACCTCCCATCTCATGGTAAAGACACTAGGTTACAGATGCACAGAACAGTACCCAGCTCTATGCAGCTTCCTGGGTTTGGAACTCAGGCTTATGTAGCAGTATTTTACCCACTGAGCCATCTCCCCAGCCTGACTATATTCTTTAATTGTTTATGGTGCAAAAGCTCAGACTCAGGGTTCTTCTGAATAAGAAGCCCCTTAAAGGAGCCTCATCTCATGACTAATCTCTTTATGTAGATCTTCTAAGAAGAGACTGGGTTCATAATGACACTTTCCCATTTGAGTAGAGGATGGGAAGCAATGGAAGGAAAAAAAAAAAAAAAAAAAAAGCCAGACCTATGCAGAGGAGCCGTCTGGTTTATGGTGAGGTATGAGAGACTGGAAAGGGAACTCTCTGAAGCAGTGCCAACATCTCTGTTCACCACCCAGAACCCAGCCCACAGCTCCCCAGAAACAAAGCCAGACCTTGGGGGTGGCATTTCATCACTACGGCGCCTTGTTGGCTTGTAGACAATCTGGAGGCTTTTGTTGAAGGGTTTTTGTTTTGTTTGCTTTGTTGTTTGTTTTTGAGACAGGGTCACATGTAGCTCAGGCTGGTTTCAAACTCACAGAGATCCTCTTGCCTTTGCCTCCTGGGTGCTGGAACTAAAGGCGTTTGTACATGCCTGACTATGTCCAGCATTTGCAGATACTTTTTAACAACCATGGGGTTGGCAGCATGGAAGATGACTCTCTTAGGGTCTCCAGTGGCTTCACTGTCATTCCCACTATCATGGGCTCACATCCTTCACCAGAAGGGCAATGTGCTCCCGCAGCTGCCGCTCTCCTTCCTGGGCTCTGCTCTGGCTCCGCCATCTCAGCAGCTCAGCCTGGTGGTCTTGGTAATGCATAGGACAGTAACTCTGTGGCTCACATAGTTCCTGAAAGGTACAAGACATCAAAGATTCCTTAGACTTCTGAGATCTACCTAATAAGAGATGTAGCTCATTGGTGCTGAAGAATGTAAAATGAACTTTTATTCTTCTGCTTCAACTGCTGTCTTGGAGACTTACCGCCTCCTGCTAACCTAGGCCTAGCCCTGGAAGCTTCTAGCCTCCATACAATCTAACCTAGGCCTAGAATGTTTTCAGCCTCTGAGATTTACTGCTTAATAAGCTCACCCTTTCTAGTTTTTACTGAGGCCTGAGCTGGCTGGTTCAACTCAGCTGTTCTGGCTCAAACTCCTCTTCTAGCTTTCTTACTCAATCTGGCTTCTTTCTCGGCCTCTGAATTGCTCTGCTTGGCCTTGAACTAACTGCAGCCATCTGTTCTAATCTCCTGGCTCCTTCTCATTCTCTGGTTCATTCGGTATTCACCTGAATTCTCTCTTTGCAACCTGTCTCTTTATAACTGTCCCGGTAAAACTGCCTCCTCTCTCTCTCTTATTGCCCTGTAAGTAGCTTCTCTTTCTCTTTCCTCTCTCTTCTGAAATTTGGGCATATCCTAGTCTGTCAGATCTTTCTCTGATCTGTCAGTTTTCCTACCATTCAATTAAACATCACTTTGAAACTTGGGTGCTTCCTTCTACAAACTAACTTTACCTTCACTGTTTGGGATTAAAGATGTGTACCGCCACACCTGGACCTAAGCTTTTCTTCACCTGAAACTTGCTCTATACTAGGTTGGCCTTGAACTTAGATCTGCTTGCCTCTGTCTCCTGGATCAAAGGCATGTTTGTACTTCAGCTGTATCACACAGATCCAGAAGGTCTTGGATGTGATCTCTTGCCAGAACAGCCATGTTCTGAAATAACATTCCTCTACAGAAGAACAGTTTCTTCTTAGAATGCTTTACCATCCCTGGAGGTTGCACGCTAAAACTGAGTCTGAGCCCACCCTCCCCCAAGTTCTTCTACATCACTTTACCATATATTCTGGAAAGAAATCTCTGTATCCCCCTTTGAGGATATACAGCTCGGGGTAGTATAATGTCGGATACTGGTTCAGAGCCCTGTCTTTTTCTCTCAGAGCACGGCACCTGTAGAGAAAATCCAGAGATTGGTGGGATGAAGGATGCAGTCAGGACCTTCAGAGGGAGAACAGACTATGGTTAATTCCTCTAAAGGACCTTTAGTGCTGGGAAGGTAGCTCAGTGGTAGAGTGGTAGCATAGAGAAGATATAGATTTAATCCCCAGCACCCCCCAACACACACCTCTCACCATGTTTACTAACCAAGGTCCGAATAACATTGTTTTCCTTTCCTCACTGAAGCTTCATTCCCAAATCCATTTGTATAGGTGTGTGTTTACATGATTTTTTTTTTTTTTTTGATTGTTGGGATCAAACCCAGGGACTCATATATTCTAGGGAAGCACTCTATCAAACTGCAGTGGAAAGCATTCATTCATGTTAGTCCTTGCTGGTGTGCCAAGTCTCACTCATGATCCATTTCCATCACCAGCTTTAGCTCATGTAGACACTCACATTCGGGGCCCTCTCTCTGAGGAGAATTCACAGAGGAACACAATGATGACTCTTTTCTGGATGTCCAGAGGAACAATAGGCTTCTTCAGAAAGAACTCATGCAGTTCCTTCTGACTGTACAGGTTTAAGGCTCCCTGCAGAAAAAGAATGTTAGCAAGTACTCTTCACAAGCTGTGCACAAGAATGAGCGAGATACTGTTCTGAGACATTTAGGCCAGAAAACTGAGGCAACACGGAATTCCAGGGTAGGAATCTAACCCTACCTCTGTACCTACCCTAGGGTTTGGCATAGAGTTTGGTATTTAGACGTTCAATAAATGTTTACAGAACTAAACCACCCAGAGTACAGGTTAAACTACTGAACTGTCTGTGAACATTAAATGTTTGCAAAGTGATCCCTGGTTCCTGGATTGTTTTCACTCCAGGGCTCCCACAGAAAACAGGGAGACTGTCAAGGAGGAAAAGGGATTGCTGAGGGCACATAGGATCCTTTGAAGGGATCCAATGTATAATGTCTGTACTCCTGCTGGATTTCACAGGATCCTTTATCCACACACCCTTCTCAACAAAACCAGCTCTGCAGCTCTTCCCGTGCCGATGCCCACGATGGAACCTCACCAGGACGTGTCCTCCCAGGTACTCATAGGGATAGCGGCAGTCAACGATGTAAAACCTCTCGATCAGACTCTGGAACTTTCCAGACAGCAGCGCAGCCAGCTGCACAGAAAGAATGACGGATTATCCTGTTCACTGTCGCTCTGAGAGACAGGAGTCACACAGCCCCCTTTTATATATTCCCATTAGTCGCCCAGGATTGCACTGCACGCACAACCTCCAAATGTGGCCTCTATCTGCAACACGCCGATGGTTAGGCCCACCCCACATGAGCATGAAATGGAAATGGCCTGTGTGGAGGGGCCAAATGGCTGATACTGAGGTTGTCTATATAGAGGCAAGCATGACCGAGATCAGCCTCTTAGGAGACAGCCAAGGAGGACAGCAGTAGCACAGGTAGTAGCTATAGAACCCAGTGTAAGAGGACATGGGAAATAGTTCCCCATTCACTGAGTCTTTGAGACTGCACACACAAGTGAGGATTCGGATTTAAAGGAGAAAAAGCAAACCACTTGTAGAAAAATAAACTGGCCCTTTCTAAAAAAGAACTTTGTAAATACTAATAGAAATACATGAAATTATACTTTCTATTTTAAAATCTTTGTTTTGTGAGATAAAGTCTTAAGCAGCCCAGACTGCCTTCAAAACTCACTATGTACCGGAAGATGGCTCTGAACTCTTGATCCTCCTGGCTTCACCTCCTAATTGCTGGGATTATAAACATATTACCTTCCCCTGCCCCAGTTTCTTACAATACCTTCAGTAAAAGTACACAAATTGATACTCATCTTAGCATTGTTTTAGGATACTGAAATATTAGAAACAACTCAAATATCCAATGAGAGTGGTTTAGTGAAAGAAATTACATATTGTAGTAAAACAGATTATATAATTATTAAAAATAACATAGATCATCTTTTTTTGTTTTTCTGCTTTGTTTTTTAAAGCAGAGTAGCCCTGGCTATCCTGAAACTCAGAGATTCTTCCTGAGTGATGGGATCAAAAGTGTGTTGCAATCACTGCCTGACCTTTTTTTTTTTTTTTTTTTTGAGACAAGGCCTTTTAGTCAGAAGAAAGAGGCAGTATGGCCTGCACTGCAATTCCAGGCCAGCTGGGACTACATAGAGAGATCCTGTCTCAAAAAGGAGAGTAGGAGGCTGGAGTACATTAGGTGGTACAGTGCATTCACAAAGCCTGCTCCCAACCCTGCAACTCTGCCAGCACTGCTTATACCAGAATCGAGAAATGGAGGCCGAGGCTCAGAAACTAAGTCATCAGCCATCTTCAGCTGTATAATAGCAAGTTTACAACCAGTCTGGGATGAACTGAGATGAAGGAGACTGTCTCAGAAGGAGGGTCATAGTGTGAGAGAGAGAAAGTTAACATGTAAATCAGGACTCATGGTTACTTGGAAACCTCAATTGAGTGATTTTTTTTTCCTTCTTTTTTGTTTTCTTTCCCTTCTCTCCCTTATCTACCACAATATATCATTCGTTTAAAAGAAAATGTTAAAAAGGTAGAAAACGGTGGGGTCAGGCATGGTGACACACCCTCTAATCCCAGCATTAAGGATACAGACCAGGTAGGTCTCTGGGTTCGAGGCCAGCCTGTTCTACAGAGTGAGTTCCAGGACAGCCAGGCTACACAGGAAAATGCTGTTTTGAAAACAACAAAAAAAAAGATAGAAAATGGATACAAAGACGTCCTTTCAATACAGTTTCAGTTGAATAAGAAGCCCATGTGAGTGGAAAGAATGAAAGAAATACAGATTGCAGTAGGTTTTAGGGAAGCACAAGCCAGCTGGCTAATGATATGATCTAACCAGTCACCATCTCCAAAATCTGCTTACTGTGTCTGGGCTGATGTACTTCAGATCCTGGTGTCTCCCTGACACTGTTGGCAGCACACACACCTAGAAAGACCCAAGAACTGAAATAACAGCAGGAATTCTCCACCCAAGCATCACATCAAAGACTCCTATATGGTCCTTTCCAAGCGATTCTTTTGTTTTGTTTGTTTGTTTTGAGACAGGGTTTCTCTGTGTAGCCCTGGCTGTCCTGGAACTTGCTCTGTAGACCAGGCTGGCCTTAACTCAGAGATCTGTCTGCCTCTGCCTCCTGAGGGCCAGGTTTAAAGGCTGCGCCACCACATTTGGCTTCCAAGTGATAGTAGAAAACAAAATTAACTACTGAACAGCTATTGAAAACAATGAAATAAAGGGTCTGAAGAGATGGCTTAGTGATTAAGTGGTGAGTTACAACTGTCTCTAGTTCTAGTGCCAGTAGATCTGACATCCTTTTCTGGCTGCTGTTGACACCGCACAAATGTGGCATATAGACAGACACATAAAAATTTCGTTGTTGTTGTTTTTTTGAAAGTCTTACTATCTAACCTTAGCTGTCCTGAAACTCACTCTGTAGACCAGGCTGACCCAGAATTCAAAGAGACGGGCTGCCTCTGCCTCCCAAGTGCTTGCATTAAATGTGTGCCACCCCACCTGGCTAAATCATCTTTATTGTTTTTAATGATGAAATAAGGGGCTTGCTCAGTGGGTAAGAGCACTTGCTGCTCTTTCTGAGGATCAAGGTTCATTTCCCAGCATCCAAGTTATGGCTTTCTTGCCCAGACATATATTCAGGCAACCACATTAAAAAAAAAAAAAAAAAAAAAAAAAAAAAAAAAAAAAAAAAAAAAAAACATAAAATAAGGATAAACAAGTCTTTTTGTTTTGTTGTTAAAATGGGGCCTATGTTTGATCCCTAGCATCCACAGACAAAGCCAGGCAGGATGATATTATTTGTAATTCCAGAACTGGGGAAGTGGAGGTACAATGATCCTTGGGGATTACTGGCCAGCCAGTCTGGTTCATCTGCAAGCCTAGGTCCCACTGAGACCCTATCTCATAATACGTGGTGATAGCTCCTGAGGAAAGCCACACAAGGTTGACCTATGGCATCCACATGCACACATACACTAAAGCACGCACAGCCCCACACACATCCATAACCAAAAGATTAAATGGCCAAGCACATTGGTTTATATCTGTAATCCTAAAAGTTGGAAGGCTGAAGCAGAAGTATCCTGAGCTATGAGATGCTATTTTAAAAAACAGTAACAGCTGGACAGTGGTAGGGCAGGGGCAGAAGCAGAGGCATTTTTGTGAGTTTGAGGGCAGCCTGCTCTACAGAGTAAGTTGTAGGACAGTCAAGGCTACAAAGGGAAACCCTGTCTTGAAGAAAAAGAAACAAATAAACAAAAAAAGGAAAACACCAACAACAAACAAAGCAAAACAAAAATATAGGACCAGAGTGGCTCAGTGGGTAAAGGCACTGGCCACCAAGCCTGAAAACCTGAGTTCAACCCCCAGGACTCACGTAGTGAAAGGACAGAACTAACGCCCACAAGTTGTCCTCTTGTATATGACTGCATGCACAGTCCCATGCACACACACTTACTCTAAATAAATAAACGTATTAACAGCCAGGCTCGGTGGCACATGCCTGTAAACCCAGGACTCTGGGAGGAAGAGGCAGGAGGATTGATGGGAGTTCGAGGCAGCCTGGTCTACAAAGAGAGTCCAGGACAGCCAAGGCTACACAGAGAAACCCTGTCTAAAAAAAATAAATAAATAAATTAACAATTAAAAACTTAAAAAAGAAGATAAATGATTAGCAGAACCATTTACTACTGAAAAGGCTGTATATCCGAGGTCTCAACCCCAGGCCTTACACAGCTATCCTGGGCTGGCCTTCACTCAAAGATTTTGGTGGTTGTTCAGAGATAGGTCTCACTATCTGGCTTCAGTGAAGATGTCCCTGATACAAGCAGGAAGAGAGGCAGTTTGAGGACTCAATCCAGAAGCTGGGCACAGTAGGCAAGCACTTTATCAATGAACTGTGCCTCACCCTAATGAGCCCATAAGACGATAGAAAACAACAAAGAAACACACGGCTCAGTGGACCCTAAAGAAGTGTAAGCTATTCTGTTGCTATTGGGGTAGGGAGATACAAAACCTACGTGTATATATGAATTTGTATTAAAAGTCTGTAGAAATACACACAAAAACAATTTTTCTGGCTAGGTGGTGGTGGTGCACGCCTTTACTCCCAGCACTCGGGAGGCAGAAGCAGGCGGATCTCTGAGTTCAAGGACTACAGAGTGAGTTCCAGAACAGTCAAAGCTACACAGAGAAATCCTGTCTCAAAAAAACAAAAACAACAAAACTAAACAACAACAAAATTTCTGATAAGGTTTGAGATAATTTTATAATTTTCTACCTTTTTTATTAATCAAGTATTATTTATTTATTCGCTTGTGCGCACATACCTGTGAACACACATATAAGTAAAGGCATATATAACCAAACTCACCTTGGAGAAATCACCAATCAGGTGCTCTTGGTCAGAATCTTCCTCCTCCATTTGAACGGCATCAGTGTTACAAAGAGGGACGGGCTTCTTTAGATTTAAGCCCTGAAATGAAAAACTCTCACTTACCCACAATTCTCAGGGTAGATGTAAAGACCAGGACTGGCAAGACGGATCAGTAAGTAAAGTACTTGCTGGGGCCTAGCAGCCTGAGTTCAGTTCCCAGAACCCTTATAAGTATGGAAGGGAGAATCAACCCCACAAAACTGTTCTCTGACCGCCATATGAATGCCTACACACACACACACACACACACACACACACACACACACACACACACACACACACACAGATACATAAAATAAAAATCTAAAAGAAGTTTTAAACAAATACATTTCTTTTAAAGATGTGGAGGAGCTGGGACTTTTGTGCATTGCTGCTGAAAATGTAAAATGATATACTGCAGTAGGACAATTCCTAAAATTTAAGCATAAAATGGTCATATTTGAACACTATATAGACTGGGGTATGAGCTCAAATGGCCCAGCAGTTGCCTGACATTTGCTAGGTCCTGGGTTCAAGCCCCAACATTGAAAACAGTAGCAAATATCACATGAGCTAGGCATGTTGGTACACACCTGAGACTCCAGCATTGTGAATGCTAAGGCACTAGGACACAGGTCAATTAGGGCTACATAATAAGACTCTCTCTTTAAAAAGAACAATAAGACACTACTACATGAAACTCCAGAAATATGTACCTTTCTCCCCTCGATGCCAGGGATCGAACCCAGAGCCTCCTGAACAAATACCACAAATCTTCTCTTTGCACATGTAAGTGCTCATGTGGGTGGAGGCCAGAGGTCAACCGTGGGTGTCATTCCTGAGCAGTCGACCATCTTGTTTTTGCAGCAGGGCCTCTCAGTGAAGTCTGGGACCTGCTGATTAGACAAGGCTGACTGCCTATCCAGTTCTGGGACTGTGTTACAGAGCTGGCTTTCTTTGTGGGTGCTGGGGCTCAAGATTAGGTCCCCATGCTTACATGTAAATACTTTACCAGTTGAGTTATCTTTTTTTGTTTTGTTTTGTCTTTGTTTTTCAAAACAGGCTTTTTTGTATGTAGTTTTGGCTTTCCTGGAATTCACGCTGTAGACTAGGGTGGCCTTGAACTCACAGAGATCCACCTGGCCACAGCCTGGCTGAGGTATCTTTTTTTTTTTTTTTAAGATTTATTTTATTTTTTTTACTTTATGTATGTTTTGCCTGAATATAACTATGTATATCATGTGTGTGCCTGCTGTTCATAGAGGCCAGAAGTGGGAATCAGATTCCTTAAAACTGGAATTGCAGGTAGATGTGAACCACCAATGTGGGTGCTAGGACTTGAACCTGTGTCCTCTGGAAGATCAGCCAGCGTTCTTAATACCCAGCCATGTCTCCAGCGTCAAATTGAATAATCTCTCTAGCCCAAGGAATCGTCTCCATCTTAATTACGGTTGCTCAGCTTTAGTAATATAGCACATATTAGTATCATAATATTCATTAAATGTTGTTCCTACTTACATCAGCTTTTATTAACAATAATAAAGTAGGGCTGGAGAAATGGCTCAGTGGTTCAGAGCACTTGCTGTTCTTTCAGAGGACGGAAGTTTGGTTCCTAACACTCACATGGTGGCTCACCACAACCTGTAACTGGAGCTCAGCAGATCTGACACGATCTTCTGGCCTACCGATATCCATGCTAACACATGCATAAAAATAACCCTTTAAAAATAATAAACTATGTAGAATATTATAAGCTGTTTTTCTTTCATTTGAGGGGTTGGGAGAAAGATAAGGTCTCACTTTGTATCCCTGGCAGGACTGGAACTCACTATGTAGACCAGGCTAGCCTCCAGTTCACTCTGCCTCTGCCTCCCAAATGCAGAGATTAAAGCCATATGTAACCACTCGCAGCAATTTTTCTACTTTATTGAGTTATAATTCATAAGCAAAAAAGAATTTTAAACATTCAAGATACACAACACAAATTAATATGTCCTTCACAAAATATTGCTTCCCTGTGTTTGCATGCCCACCCACACTCACAGAGAAAGAGAGAGAGAAAGGGAGTGAGTGAGACAGAGAGGGAGAAGTGAGGGATGAGAATATACATACTTTAGGGAGAGGCAGAGACTGAGACAGGGCATTACTACATAATCCAGGATTGAACTTGGACTTCTCTTACCTCAGCTTCCGGAGTGCTAGAATTATACAAACTACTTTTAATACTTTATCATATAAACAGCAATTCTATGGAAGGCTTATTACGTTCTCCATTTAATTTATTTTTTGGCATGTGTATCTGTGTAGTATGTGTGTAAATGTGTGTAGAGGCCCTAGGTGGATAGCAGGAGTCTTGCTAAATCTCAGCCCTCCTTATTCACTAAGGCAGAATCAGAGAGCTTGCTGGTAAGGCTACTCTAGCTAGGCAGTGTACAGGAATTTAAATTTATAACATTTAAATTTGGCTCTGGCAAGAGATCAAATCCAAAGACCTTCTGGGTCTGTATGATCCAGTTAGAATATATATACACCTTTAATCCAGGAAACAGCCAAGCACATCAGAGTTCAAGGCCAGCCTGGTTTCAGGTAAAGAAAAGCTTAGGTCCAGGCATGGTGGTAAAGGCCTTTAGTCCCAAACTATGAAGGTAAAGTTAGTTTGTAGAAGGAAGCACCCAAGTTTGAAAGTGATGTTTAATTGAGTGACTGAAACAGTGACCGATCAGAAAAATATTTGACAGAGTAGGATATGCCCAATTTTCAGGAGGAGAGGAAAGGGAAGCTACTTAAGGGGCAATGTGGTGGAGGGGAGAGGCAGGCAGTTTTACCGGGACAGTTATAAAGAGACAGGTTGCAGAGAGAGAGAGAGAGAGAACTCAGGTGAAGACCTAATGAGCCAGAGAATGAGAAGGAGCCAGGAGATTAGAGCAGATTGCTGGAGTTAGTTTGAGGGCAAGCAGAACAATTCAGAGGCCGAGAGAAAAGCCAGATTGAATAAATTGACTAGTTGTGGAGTTTGAGCCAGAACAGCTGAGTTGAACCAGCCAGCCCAGACCTCAATAAGAACAAGACAGGGTAAGCTTATTAAATTGTAAATCTCCAAGGCTGAAAACATTCTAGGCCTAGGCTAGATTTTTTTTGTATGGAGGCTAGAAACTTCAAGGACGAGGCCTAGGTCAGCAGATGAAAGCAGTAAGCTTCGGAGACAACAATTGAACAAGGCAAATTAAAGTTCCTTTTACAAGCTGGCTTGCTCCAATCTTAACCTGCTGGATTCACCTTTCTAGAGCTGGAAATACAGGTGGAATTACCGAGCATTTCTAAGGGTTCTGAGGGCCTGAACTGGGTCTTCAGCCCTGTGTAGCAAATACTTTATTGCCCAGCCCTCCTCTCTAATTTATAAGGGAAAAAGATGAAGTAGTGTGGCAAATCATCTAACACTAGCAATAGGGCGAGAACTAGAACGCAAGCACCTTACTCCACCGGACAGCAGCCGCCCTATGGAAGTCATTAAAGTTTCTTACTTATTGAAACAAGGTATGCCTCTGTTACCCTGGATGACGTCAAGCTTAAGGAAATCTTCCTGCCTCAGTTAACCAAGCGCTACAATTATAAGCATGAACCACCAAGCCTGGCAAATCATTTACTTTTAACTTTTTAAAAGTTTCTGTGCAACTAGCATGCTATTCCTCCCCAAACCCCCATCCTCCCTTTTGTGCCCTCTCACTTCCATCAACCAGCTTGGTCCCCCTACACAATTTTACTCCATTTAAATGAATAAAATTAAAAGCATCTCTGTCCACATTGTCTTCAAATGTATGAAGCTGATTTAGAAGTACAAAGCACCTCCGAAACTATCTTTGGGATGTCAACACAGCTACAAGGCATAAGCACCTTCAGATCATATCCTAGTGATGTGGGAAGTACCTAGAAGACAATTGCAAGACCCTGCTAGGCTATTCCAGCCATTGCTTTTGATAGCAACTCAAATCACTCAACACCGTTTCTCATCCAGTAATAGGGTGATCTCCAGGGTGATGTGGCATTATCCGTCAAGTATCTCTGAGAGTCTAAAGATTTTCTTATTACTATTACTATTATTATTATTATTAGTTAAAAAAAACCCTGGTCCTCTGGAAGAGCACCCAGGGCTCTTAACTGCAGAGCCATCTCTCCAACCCTATTACCGTTTTTGAGACCAGGTCTCACTATATAATCAAGGTTGGCCTTTAATTCACAACCCTCCTGCCTCTATCCACAATGTAGTGGAATTATGGGTATGTATCACCATTAAGACCCTGTTTTTTGTTTGTTTTTGTTTTGTCACAGCCCTAGTACAATACAATATTGTTTAGTTAAGATCAAATGTAGAAGCTCATGCCTGTAATTCTAGCACAGGGAAGACTGAGGCAGAAGAATTTCAAAGCAGCCCAGACTATATAGTAAATTCCAGACCTGCTTTGGCTACAAGTGAGTTGCAGGACAGCCTGGGCCTCATAATGAGACTGTCTCAAAAACCAAACAAAGTGAAAAACAAAAGTTGGTGTGGTAGAACAGGATTGCACAATATAATCCTAGAATCCAGGAGGTTAAGACAGGAGGATTGCCAGTTCAAAGCCACTCTGGGCTAAACTGCAATGTCAACAGCCTGGACTACACGAGACCCTGTTGTTTTTTGTTGTTGTTGTTTTGTTTTTAAATAGAAAACAAAAACAATAAGGAACAACCAGAAGCCATTGAGATGATTCAGCTCGAGAGGCCTGACAACCTGGATTTAGTGCCTGGACCACATGGTAGGAGAGAACGAACTTTCCACAATTCTCCTCTGACTACCACACATATGCCATGCCACGTGCACACACACACAGAAACATACAGGCACGTGCACACAGTAAATAAAACAAAAATAGGAGGGGTGAAAAATGAAAAGTAACAGAATAGTGTACCATGGTGTCTTGGTCTTCTAGGGAGAACTCCATTGGGTCTTCTGAAATCCTTCCTTGGTCTTCTAGCTTTTGATTTTCACTGAGTTTTGGAACTGTAGTGATGGGACTGCCCAGACACTTCATTTCGCTCTCCACCAAGATTCCATTTTCCTGTCAAGTATATTGACAAGACTATAGTATGAAGGTTTATGTCTATGATCCCACTAATTAAGAGGCTGAAATAAAAGGCTTAGGAGACTGAGGCAAGCCTGAGCTACATACTCAAATTCTGACTCCATAAAAGAAAAAAATTTAAAATTTAAAAATACTACAAGGGCTGGAGAGATGGCTCAGTGGTTAAGAGCACTGTCTGCTCTTCCAAAAGACCCGGGTTCAATTCCCAGCACCCACAAGGCAGCTCACAACTGTCTGTAACCCCAATTCCAAGGGATCTGACACCTTCACACTAATGCATGTAAAATGAAATAAAAGAATTAAAAAAAAAAAAAACTACAAACAAGAAACCCTTACCTTATTCAGAACACCTACATCATGTATACAAACTGATTCAAAATATACCAGCAATATAAACAATTAAAAATTAAAACAGCAAAATAAAAATTAAAACTGCACAACACTTAGAAGAAGCTCCCTACAGTGGCAGAAGCTTACAGAATCAGGATTGTGGAGACTGAGGAGGAGGAGAGCCTGAGTAAAGGCTTTCAAGGCCAGCCTGAGCAGCATAGTAAAACCGCATTTCAAAAAGGAGAAAAGAAATGGACAGTGTGCACTGTGACACATGTTTGTTGTCCTAGTACCTAGACTGACAGAGCAGGATTGTTGTGGGTCTGAGCACAGCCTGGACTACAGAGTGAGCTCTTGTCTCAAAAACTCAAAAAGAAAGGAAGAGAAAAAAAGAAACCAAAGGCTAAGAAAAATTTCACGCCACAGTTTGAACAACTAAAGGATCAGAAGACACACATAGCTCCTCCTTGGTTCTGCTTGGATTAACTTGACTCACCCTCTTCTCCTCTTCTTTACAAGTTGAATCATCTTTACAAGTTTGAATCATCATAAAACATTATTGATGTTTTAATCTCCCTTTATTAATCACTTTTTTTTTTTTTTTGAGACAGGGCTTCTCTCTACAGCCTTGGCTGTAAGCCCTGACTCGCTTAGGAAAAGTCAATGGGCCAGAAGTTCACAGCTGCTACTCTGTAGCCTAGGATATTTTAGCTATCAATTGATGATATTCAATAACTCACCAGCACAGAGAGGGGAGAAGCCAGAGGATCTCCAGGCATTTTTTTAAACTTCGGGGTCCTAGGTCCCTCCCATTCCAATGTCTTTAAACTGGTGTTTATCTGCATAGGAAAAACTGCATTGGCTAGAGGAAGAGAAGTAGTAATGCCTGCCAAAATATTACATCTGATCAAGCTATGAATAACTCTCATGAAACACAGAGATGTAATAATTAAATGCACATCTGAAGATGTAAATAATACTGTGGATTATGTCTTACACACATATTTGCTTTGGAGGATATACATTTTATCATCATAAGCAAAAGAATAGAGCTGAAAGAAAGATTACCTGGGAAGGGATCTGCAATTTTATTTGTAGTTATTTATTATTTTGAAGGATGAGTGTTTCTCTTTATTTAATGTGGATGAGTGTTTTGTTTGCATATGTGTATGGACTTTGTGTGTACCTGGTGCCTGCAGAGGCCAAAAGGCAGTAGAGTTACTGATGTGTGTGAGCCTCCATGTAGGTGCTAGGAACTGAACTCACGTCCTCTGGAAAAGCAGCAAGTACTTTTAACCACTGAGCCATCTCTCTAGAACTGGGATTATGAGATTTTAAAAAGTGGTTATAAGCCAGGTACACACCTGTAATCCCAGCACTTAGGGAGGCAGATTGAGGTAGATTTCTGTGAGTTAGAGGCTATCCTGGTCTACAAAGCGAGTCCAGGAAGCAAGGCTACACAGAGAAACCCTGTTTCAAAAAACCAAAAGTGACTACAAAGGGAGATTAAAATGGCGATAACAGGGCTGGAAAGATGATTCAGCTTGTAAAGGTACTTGCCACCAAGCCTGACAGTTTGAGTCCGATACCTGGAGCTGACGCGGTAGAAGAAACAAACTGACCCCTGTAAGTTGTCCTCTGCCTCTATGGGCATATGGGCATGTGCACACATGCACAGATGCACACACACCCAAAATTAATACAAAAAAAATCTTCAAGGGGCAGCAGTAGTAGAAATTTTTAAAAGCTGACTAGAAACAGCTAGAAACAGGCATCTCTTCTTCAGTATAGGAAAGGAATATTGGGGCCTGGAGACATGGCTCAGTGTTTAAGAGCCTTGCTGCTCTTATGGAGGACCCAGGCTCGATTTCCAGCACCTACATGGCGGCCAGCAACTACCTGTGACTCCAGTTCCAGAAAATCCAACGTCCTTTTCCCGCTCTGTGGGCCCTGCACTAATATGGTGCACAGAAATACGTGCAGGCACCACAGATATACATGCAGGTAAACACACACGTAAGATAAAAATAAGTATGAAAGAAAAAGAATAGCAGCTATGCCATGCATACCGACCTAGCTGAAGGCATGGAAGAGAGAGATGATGTCCAGAAAAGGAGTTTAGGTGGATGGATTAAAGAGTCATCTTGGCGAGCGGTAGCTCAGAAAGGGCACTTTCAACTTGAAACAGGATGGTGGAAGGCTGACACAGCTTCCTCAAGATAGAGTCAAACAGTCTGACTAAGGAGAAATTAGGAAAAATTGGGGTGGGCCTGATATACAAAGTGAACTGGTGGACTGCTCAGCTGGCATGCACTAGCGCTGCAGGCTCAATCCTCAGGAAAACAAAACAACGAAACAAAGGACTACACTGAGGCAGGGGGTATAGCTCAGTGAAGGGAAACAGCAGTTTGAATGAGGCCTAACCTTAGCAATAAAAGTACAGCCAGAAAGCAAAGAATTTGTGAAAAGTTGCGTAAATTTTTACAAATTAAAATTATTTAGGGCTAGTAAGATGGTTCAGTAGGCAACAGTGCTTTTTGCAAAAGCCTGAGGACTTACATTCCATTCCTGGACCCATTGGGAAAGGAAAGAACTGGCTTACAGAAGTCCCCTGACAGGAACCTAAACTTACACAACATGATGATTTCAAACACTTAATTACATGATAGTAACAGCAATTTGTACACTTAACTGATAAACTGAACATAACTGATAGCTCAGGTTTCCAATAAATACTCACATTTTCTTTATTTGCAGATATGCTACACTTTGCATATTTCTTTCTGTGGCCAAGATCCAAAGCGTTTGGAGTACTGCAAAGAAGCTGTACCTAAAAGACATTATAAACAGAAAGCATTCAACATGCATAAGCCACACGGCCAGCTAGGAACCCTCTGCCTTCCCCAGAGAAACAAACCCAAAGTCAAAAAGGATGCTTTTAGCCTCAGTGCTCAACAGGTGTTCCAGCCCAGCTAGCCACACATAGTGAGGCTCTCTCTTAAAAGAAAGAGAGAAAGGAAAGGAGGCTTACTTACTGGGAGGCCTTTCATAAGGTCCTGATGATGATTCCTGAAGAATAAAGCCAAAACAAACAGTGGTTAACTAATCCCCACATCCAGTTTGGTTCTTCAGTGGTTGAAGGCACCCTGGCTTTTCTTCTTTCCTATTCAAGGAGTCCTACTCGTTGGGATTTGTCTCTTCCAACAACATGAAGGGTACTAGATATCTAGATTCAGTGGCATCCTACAGAAAAGGCCCAGTTCACCAGCACAAGTAGACAAGCTAAGCACGGACCACGGGGGAGTCTGTCTGACACTATTCCAGTGTCAGTGCTTGGGATGGAGCCTAGGCCTTGCACAGGCTAGGCCTGCCAGCTGAGGACACCTCCCATTCCTGTCCACTTCTATCCTACATCTTTCCTAAATTCCTACTCAGCCCACCACTATAAAGCCAGCACTCAGGAGGCTGAAGTAGGAAGATCATTATGAGTTCAAGATCATACTGACTACAGTGAGACCCTACCTCCAAAAAAAAAAAAAGTATAAAAAATATCCTCCCCAGCATGCATCATCCCTTGAGTTTTTGATCTTAGCCATTCTGATGGGTGTGAGATGAAATCTCAGGGTCGTATTGATTTGCATTTCCCAAATGACTAAGGACGTTTAACATTTCTTTAAGTGTTTCTCTGCCATTTGATATTCCTCTATTGAGAATTTTATTTAGCTCTGTTCCCCATTTTTTAATTGGATCACTTGGTTTGTTGGTGTTTAACTTCTTCAGTTCTTCAGCTATAGGAGAAAACAAGAAACAGGACAGGAGCCTTCCACAGAGGACCTTTGAAAGACTCTACCCACTAGGGTATAGAAGGAGATACTGAGCCACATAGCCAAACTGTGGACAGAGTACTGGAATCCTTATGGAAGAAAAGGGAGATAGAAAAACCTGGAGGGGACAGGAACTTTACAAGGAGAACAATAGAACCAAGAAATCTGGGCCCAGGGGGCCATGCAGATACCAATAATCCAACCAAGGACCATGCATGGAGAGGACGTAGACCCCCTGTTCAAAGGAAGACCATTGGCTGCTCAGTCTCCAAGTGGGTTCCCTAGTAAGGGGTACAGGTGCTATCTCTGACATGAACTCAGTGTTTGGCTCTCGGATCACCCTCTCCTGGGGGTACAGCCTTATGAGGCCACAGAGGAAGATGATGCAGCCAGCCTTGATAAGACCTGATAAGCTAGGGTCAGATAGAAGGGGAGGAGGTCCTCCCCTATCAGGGGACCAGGGAAAGGGCATAGAGGGAGAAAAGGGAGGGTGGATGAGACTGGGAGGAGACAAGGGAGGGGGTTACAGTGGGGATACAAAGTGAATGAATTGTAATAAATAAATAAATAAAAATTTTAAAGTATAAAAAAAAAAAGTAAAGCTGTGTGGTGGCAGAGGTGGGCAGATCTCTGACTTTGAGGTCAGCCAGGTCTGCAGAGTAAGTTCCAGGACAGACAGAGCTACACAGAGAAACCTAGATAGATAGATAGATAGATAGATAGATAGATAGATAGATAGATAAGTTTTGAAAGAGCTGAACTGAAATCAGTTTTTGTAGCTGGGTGGTGGTGGTGCACACCTTTAATTCCAGCACTCAGAAGGGAGAGGCAGGCAGATCTCTGTGAGTTCAAGGCCAGCCTGGTCTATGAAGGGAAATCCAGGACAGCCAAGGCTACACAGAGAAATCCTATCTTGAAAAACCAAAACCAAAAGTAGAAATCAGCTTTTTATTCCATGTACACCTGGCTAAATATTTTAGAATCTCCAGGACAGACTCTATTAATAGTTATAACAACAAACACAAAATGCTTGGTATGTACAAGATAAATTTTTTTGTTTTTCTTTTTTCTTTTTGTAGAAGGGGTAGAGGAGGAAGGAGATGGTATTAAGATAGTGTCTTGCACAGTCCAGGATGGCCTTAGACTTGTTACATAGCTAAGGCTGGCCTTGAACTTCTGATTCTCCTCCCTCTACCACCTGAGTCCTGGGATCACAAATGTAAACCATATTACCTGGTGCTGGTTGGGTTTGTTTTTAGTTTTGGTTTGGGTGGTGTTTTGTTTTGTTTGAGACAGTGTCTCACATCGCCCAGCCTCTCATTTTTATTTTATCTTTGCAATAGCTGTTTATAAAAAAGTGCTACTGTTACCCCGTATTGTAAGTACAGAAAGTCCAATCCAATGAATTAAACTGTGGGTCCCAGCTGGTAAAGTAGTAAGCCACCAGCACCCAGAGTCTCACTCCAGACCATGCATCTTTAACCACTGAAATACAGCACCCCTCACGTGCAAAGAGAAGCCACCGCAGGAGCGCGGTGCTCCATTTCCCTCATGTAAAACAGATATTTCTGTGTATGCTGGTTTAAAAGAGCCTGCCTTTCACAACACTAGTCAGAACTGGAAAACTTAAAAGCTGTCAGGTTGGAATCTAGGCCTCCCAGCCCACTAATATCCAAAGCGAAATACTTTATAGTCTTCAGAGTCCACATAGGGTAACATCCCTGTGATCCATGCGGAAAGAATAGGGCATAGACCATTTAATAACAGAACTTACATCCCATTTAACTGTACATCCTGAGGTCCTGAGGAATCCAAGGAATCTGCAATCAGATATGAAGAATCATGGGCTGGGGTTGTAGCTTACTTAATAGTGTTTGTCCAGCACACACAAAGTCTTAGGTTCAGCCCTCATCTCTGTATAAAACCATGGTGACTTCCATCAGTATCCCATCACCACCAAACAAATACACACTAATAACAATTTGTTTGTTTGTTTTCCAAGACAGGGTTTCTCTGTGTACCTCTGGCTATCCTGCTCCATAGACAAGGCTGGACTCAAACTCATAGAGATCTGCCTGCTTCTGCCTCCCAAGTGCTGAGACTAAAGGTGAATGCCGCCACCACCCAGCTAATAAAGAATTTTAAAAATTGCGCTGGAGAAGTGGCTCAGAGATTTACTTGATGTTCTTTCAGGGGTCCCAAAGGATCTAACACCCTCTTCTAGCCTCTTCAAGAATCAAGCACATACACATACATGTAAGCAAAACATACATGTAAGAATGAATGAGCCTTTAAAAAAAATGTTTCAAACCCAATCGTGGTGGCACAAATATGCCTGTAACTCCAGCACACGGGAGGTAAAGTCAGGTATATATAAGTTCAAAGGCTACATAGTGAGTGTTAGGCCAGCCTGAGCTACACGAGACCCTGTCTGAAGCCTCCATCTTCTTCCTTCCCCAAGAAAACAGAGAAGAAAGTGGTTACTTAAGAAATCTGAAACTAGAGCTAATACTAGAATGGTTTACTAGCAAAACTTTTTAGACCCAGAAAAAACACCTATTAGTTGACATCACAGGTGCAGGCACGTACACACATAGACCCAAAAACAGTTTCTCACAGAGTCACACACACAGAGACACAATTAGTTGACAAAGTTATTTCTTTTGTATGTGGAAGGCACCAAGGACTGAATTCAGGGCCTTGTAGAAAAAAAGCATTTATGCCAAATTTTCGGTTCTACTGAGATTAAATTAGGATAAAAAAATACTACTACTGCTACTACTAATAACTTTACTATACTTTCATCCCCATCATTGGTCAGTCAACAAAATATATTTCTTCTTAGAGAACTTTTCCTAATGCAAAGCAACTTCTATTACTCTTATTTTCTCTTTCCATTAATCATTTAACCTCAAAATTCCTACTTTTAGGCAAATGTTCTCTCAGGGTTTTGGTATGTGGTAGCTCTGGCTGGTCTGGTAATCTTTCGGTAACTCTGGCTTGCCTCAACATCCCAAGTGCTGGGTTTACATAAACTAACATATCTGGTTTTATGTAGGTTCTTTACCTATGTTTACCAACTTCCATTTCTATCCTATTACCTTGCCTTCTCTCTGCAAAATTATTTTTCCTTTTACTTGTAAACCTCAGCCTTTAAAGGGTAAGCCATCTCTCCAGCCCAAGAGATGGTTTATCAATTAAGTGTACTTGCTGTTCTTCCAAAGGACTGAAGTTCATTTCCCAGCATCCAAATGGTAGCTCACAACAGTCTGGAATTCCAGTTCCAGAGGATCTAGTTCCGCTGGCCTCTGAGGGCGCCAGGCATACATGTTGCACACATACACACAAAACATTTATACACATAAAAAATAATAAAAATAAAAAATTTTAAGTTAGGTTTCTTTTTAAGGACTGTACCCCTACCAGTTTCCTCAAAGTCAGCAGAAGTAGCCAGCTGAGACGCAGACATCTCTCCATTGCTAAGATTCGAAAGGTCAAGGCAACGTTTTGGTGTTCCTCTGTTGAGACATCAGAATATATCAAGATTCCCATTAGGGTGTACTATCCTTAAAAGGTAGAAATTATGTCTTCATTTGAAATCTCTCTCATCATCACAAAAATCTAAACAATATCCAAATGAGCCCACCTGCTATTTGGAAATAGCTCAGACTGGGCTGAGAAGAGCAATCTCCCACCTTCTCTCTATTTCAATAATGTGAGCCTCGTTCTCTTCTCACCAACACCCTGAGATAGGATTTAATGAGAATCTAATTTTTCAGAATTTTAACTACATTTTATTTATTGTGTGTGCACATATTTGTGTGTGAAGGTCAGAAGACAATTGCAGTAGAAAGGAGCTCTATCTCAGGTCATCAGGCTTGGTGACAGGTGTCTTTACTTGCTGGGCCATTTTACCTGCCCAGTGAATAGAATCTTGCCCCACATTCTCTATCTTGTTCACCCTGAACACATAAACTCAATTTTCCCCTGAAACCCCTACTCCTCCTCAAATACTTGTTTGCTAATGAGATGTAAAGACCACACGACCAAAATTAAAAGTAGAACACTAACATTAATACAATCAAAGTGACAACTCAGATAACATAGAGTTTTTAGAATATTTCCTACACAGCATATTGATTCTGACAGGACAGGAAAAAAATTATCCCTGGTAAAACAGAACGTGACTTTTTTTTTTTTCTTGTTATTATTTGTTTGTTTGCAATAAGGTCTCACTCTGTAACCCACTAGTTCTTCTGGAATTCAGTAATAGGCCAGTCTGGTCTTGAATCTGTGATCATCCTTGTTTCAGCCTCCAGAATGGTGAGATCACCAAAATACTCCACCACGTCCCGTTAGAAAAAGACATTTCTGTTGTTTGTAACATAGAAAGGAAAACCAGTACTCAAAAGAGTCATATATTTTACGGTCAAGGGTGAGACTCAAACCCTGAACCTTGAAACGGAGTAATTCAGCAAACAAACTTGTTCATAAAATCAAAGATAAAAGTGTAAAAAGAAAAATTAACTCACGGGCTAAAGAGATGGCTCAGTGATTACGAGCTTGCTGTTCTTCCAGAAGGCTGCGGTTAGGTTCCCAGCACCCACTTCTGGGTGGCTCACAACCGTATCTAACTTCAGGGGGCACAATGCCTCTGCCCTCTACAGTCACAAACATAGATCCACTTGCGGACTACACACACACACACACACACACACACACACACACACACACACACACACACACCCCTACACACAACGACAAATACTTTTTAAAGGAATTTACCCAGACAAAACGCTTAGGTTTGCGGAGTCGAGGAGTCTGTCTCCTGGAGATTGAGGAACATCTGAACGGACGGTAAAAGAGGTGTTCCTCTCCAAGAGCAGGTGTAACAGCTTCCTTTGATCGGACCTAAACCTGGGTGCGGGACCTGAACTTCCCTCAGACATGCCTGCAGTCTTCTCCGAGGGAGGTGCGGCCACCTAGAAGACACTCCGGGCGTTCAGCACTCCCGACCTCTCCGCCCTTGCAGGGCCTGGCGGGAGAGCATCCCACAGGATCAACACGACCCGCTGGAACGTTACATGGCAGTGGTTCGGGTAGGAAACTTACAGACGTCGGGCCAGCGCAGGGCTTCCAAGGTGGAAGGAGAGAAAAGCAGCTGGATCCGGACCACCACGTCCCCACTCTCGACCAGAAGAGACGGATCTAACTAACAAGACAAGGCTAATCCGAATCTACCCTGCAGGGGTTTGGATTGGGAGAAACTCCCGCAGGACTGGATGCAAGCGAAGCCGCCGCCGAAGGGGAAGGAATCAGAGAAACGGCAGTTCTTCCAGCTAAAATCGCTTCCGCGTAACTCCTCGGCTTCTCCCCGGAACTGGCCCGAGGGGAGGGCAAGACTAACAGCCCTAGGCCTGGCCATTCAAATCTTCCGCTCTCTCAACAACCTATCGCAGGCCGCCTGCTAGCAGCGTCAGCCAATCACCGCACTAGCCCCGCCCCCGCCCCTGACCAATCGCCAATCTCGTAACTCTTCCGCGGGGCATCTCCGCCGCACAGAGAGCCCGGTGCACATTGGCTCTTGCCGTGGCCAATCGCCGCACTCTTCCTGGTCTCAAGTCCCTCCGCCCCAGCAACCCCGGGCGCTTTAAATTGCGCTCTGCTAACGAAGACGGGCTGTAGGACCTGTCTTGGGGTGGGGGCGATCCCTTCTCCTTGCGTCTTTTTCCTTTTCCGCCTCGTTTCGCTCGAGTTCGGTTAGCTTGCGGCTGGAGATGGAGCATTTGCCGCCGGTGTGGCAGTTGTTGGGACATGACAGGTGTGTGTTGATCCTGAGGCACCACCGGCCCTTCCGAGAGGCTCTCTGGGTAGAAAATCCTTTCTAGGGAGAGTAGAGGAATTGGACCTTTTGACGTAATCCTTATGAGAAGGATGGGGGTTCGTGCCAGCGCTCGGGAGACTGAGCTAGAACCGCTGTGAGGTTGAGGACAGCCTGCGCTATCCTGTGAATCCCAGTGGGTGGATATATCAATAGAGATGGAGGTGGAAATTGGACTGGAACCCAGAGCCTCGGGCACGCTGGACAAGCGCTGCCCTTTAGCTGTTACTCCCCAGCCCGAGATTCCTTCATAAGGTTTATGTTAAATTATGTGTACGAGTGTGTACGGGCTTGTGCCAGTTGGGACGTCAGAGGCAAGCCCATAAAGGAGCTGGAGTCATTGACAGTTGTGAGTTGCCCAATATGGGCAATTTCTCTGCAAGAGCAGAATGTGCTCTGAGTCACTGACCCATCTCTCTAGCACCCGAGCCCAAAAAATTCGTAATGTTTTTTTTTTTTTTCTCTTCAAAGCTTTGGAGAGTTGTGGGTGTGAGTATAGATGAGATAATTGGACATGAGTGTGGGTTGCAAGCTGGATGGGAAATTTTAATTAATGTACATGCTAACCACCTGGAGATCCTGAGAAACTGCAGATTTTGATTCAGGAGGTCTGGGTTGGGGCCCAAAATTCTATGTATGTAATAAATTCTTGGTTGATGATGATGTCTCTGGTTCCAGGACCATACATTTTTTAAAGATTTATTATGTATACAATGTCTGTCTGTATGTACATCTGTATGCAGGCAGAGGGCACCCCATCTCATTATAGATGGTTGTGAGCCACCATGCAGCTGCTGGGAATTGAACTCAGGACCTCTGGAAGAGCAGACAGTGCCCTTTATCTCTGAGCCATCTCTCCAGCCCAAGGACTATACTCTTGAGCAGCAAAAGCAATGTGCTATACTTTTTGTGTCTTTTGAGACAGGGCCTGACTATTGTCTTCAGTTTGAAATCCCTCAGCCTCAGTCCCTTGACGTATGACAGGTGTGTGATGCCACACTCATCCTGTACTCCAGAATACATTTCAGTTTTTCCTTTTTTAAAATTTACTTTCATTTCGTGTGTTTTGTTTGCATGTATGTCTGTGTGAAGGTGTTGGATCCCCTAAATATGGAGTTACAGGCAATTATGAACTACCATGTAAGTGCTGGAAATTGAACCTGGTCCTTTGGAAGAGCAGCCAGTGCTCTTAACCATTGAGCCATTTCTCCAGACCTTCCTTCCTTCCTTCCTTCCTTCCTTCCTTCCTTCCTTCCTTCCTTCCTTCCTTCCTTCCTCCTTCCTTCTTTCTTTCTTCCTTTCTTCCTCTCTTTCTCTTTTTCTTTCATTTTTAATGGTAAATTGAGTCAGGGTCTTGGTATACAGTCCTCGTTAGCTGCAAACTCTTGATTCTTCTGCCCTTACCCCTAACTTCTGGGATTACAGGCATGTATCACCACACCCATATTCAAATTTTTCATAACTAAGAATGTTTAAGCTGAATATGGTAATGCCCACTTGTAATCCCAGCATTGCAGTGGTTGAGGAAGGATAATTACCAGTCTGGGCTACATAACAAGACCCAGTATCAAAGAAAATGTGGGGAGCTTAGTGGTGAGAGAGTTGTGGTATAAATCCTTGTGAAGCTGAGGCAGGAGGATCACAAGTTCAATGCCACCTGTGCTACCTAGCAAAACACTGCCTCAAAAACAAAGGAAATGTTTTAATTTAGTAACTATTTAAAATACATGCCAATAGATCTATAAGAGTATGGCCCAGGAATGATCGAGGCTGCCAGGTGCAACTTGTGTTAATAGCGTGCAGACCGCTTTTTGAGAGAACTCAGAAATACAACCTTTAAAGCTGGATTTAGGGACTAAAGAAATGGCTCAGTGGGTAAATCGTGTACAAAGCAAGCACAAGGACCAGGTTTTGCAGTCCGAGAGCCCACACAAATACTGGGTAGCTTGATGGCCTTGCCTAGTATCTTAGTCTTCAGGAGGCGGAGACAATGGACCCCTGGAATAAGCTGGCTAGTTAGACTAGCCAAATCTGTGAGCTCTGGGGTTAAGCGGGAGACCCTGCCGCAGTATACAAGGTGAAGATTAACACGCCTGACTTCAGTCTCGGAGATGATGCATAAGCACAAGCACCCTTACATGTGAACAGACACACACATACACAGTACACACATATGAAAAGGAGAAAATAAGCTGGACCTGGCTCACTCTTGTAATCCCAGAGCTTGGGAGACTGAGGGAGGGAAAGTACCACCATTTCAGACGCTAGTTACTTTCAGACCACCAATCAGGACTGTGGAGAAGACCCTGCTCAAACAAACAAACAACCCAACAACAAATCCCCACAACTTCTATCTGCTGTGAGAATCTTGGCAGTTACAGTGGCTGAAAGATGCAGCGCATATATATATTTTAATATGCTAATATCCTTTTTATCTGCAGAAGCTGCTTCCCCAGAAAGGAAGTATGTGCGAAGTCTCTGTCCTCTAGTATAGAGATGGTAAGTGTGGGAGTCATCACGGAGTCTTGCCACGTCAGGTAAGTTGGAAAATAAGGCTGGGGCTTAAGGGAGCGTGAGACGTGTTTACTTCTGCTGTGATGGCTATGGTCATCCTCCTCCAGGTGCCATGTATACTTCCCCGCAGGTGGGAAACTGAGACAGATGAAGTGGTCCTGCGGCGGCGGCAGAAGCAGATAGATTATGGCAAGTGCACACCTGGTTACCAGTGCTTTCTGCAGCAGGTGCCCAAGTGAGTGCAGATGTGGGTGGTCAGACAAGGCTGTCAGGGCATTGTCAATGGCTGTAGGGCATCATCAAGTGATGGGAAGATAACTGGAAACTGAGAGCTCCAACAAAGGTGAAAAGTAACTAATTCTCCTGCAGTCTCATTCCCCATATATGAAATATATGAATGTATTTCGTTATTACTGGTTCATTTAGCCTTTTAAAGTTTTTAGTATGTACACGGGTGTTTTTCTTGCATGTGTGTCTACACAGTACATGCATGCCTGTGGAGGCCAGAAGAGGGTATCAGATTCCCTGGAGCTACAGACAGTTGTGAGCTACCATGTGGATACTGGGAATCAAATCCAGGTCCTCTGGTCCCTCTTCTGTTTTCATGTCACATATATTCCAATGTTCTCTTATTCTCATCTCTATGCTTTTAGTCCTCTTCTTCCTCTATAGTTTCCTTATTATTTTTATGCCCTCCACACACATACACGTAGGTATGAAATGCATCAAAAGTTGGGTATCATCCTTACTCCAGGGCCAGTCTTAACGTCTGTATCATTACAATTTCAGTTTATGTGCTTGCTGAAGTGAACATTATTCCTCCTCCCCTCTCCCTTCCCCTTTCTCTTAGACAGTCTTTTGTAGCCTAAGCTGGCATCAAGTTCATTATGTAGTTAAGAAAGACACTGAACTTCTGAGCCTCCTGCCTCCAGCTCTGAGTGCTAAGATTTCAGGACTCTAGATGTGTGCCACCAGGCCTAGTTTCACTGTATCTGCTGGACTGGAGAATTATCCTGTCCTTGGGTAATCCTTGTCTAGGCTTCTGATTTTCTATGATAAGCAGTGAGCAGTGTCCCTTTCCTTTGACCTCAATCTGACCCATTATTTGTTGTTGCCAGGGCACATCGACAGCCAGGGTTTCACCCTCAGACACCAAACAAAAACAGGAGGTGCAGCCGACGATCCTGGGATGCCCAGATCAGGCAATGGAGAAGAGCCTTGCATACCTGGGACCCCCCAAGTCAGCCTCTGCATGACAGGGAGGCTGAGGGGTGTGTTCACTAATCTGGCTCCTTCTATGAGTGGTGTGGGCTCAGCCCTACTTTCTCCACTGTGCAGAGATTTAGGTTTTTATTGGGTGGCAGGGGTAGGGGTGAAGGGTAGGGTGGGATCTGTATGAATGGATGTTCTCTCACTCTGCTGCCCTTCTAGGAAGGCAACAAAGAACTTCCTAAGGCCAGTGGATTCTACTCCTTTGGATGATCACCCGGATAACTGGCCCCAGGCCCCAGAATCCTCAGAGAATTGGGACAGAGGCCAGGAAGAGGCCCAGGTAGTGTCCTCTGCTAGAAGCCATTAAATTGTGTGAATAGATGGGGTCTGACCTGTGAGGGCACAATTAAGATAGAGTCCAAAAGAGATGGGGGCTGGAGATTGAGTACTTGCCTTAGCATATGGCCTGATCTCTTTCGCCACAAATGAAACAAAGGGAATTGGGCATGGTGGTACCTTCCTGTAATCCCTGCACTGGGAAGGTGAAAACAAGAGGATCAGGAGTTATTTATTTGTCATTTAAAGCTTGATAAAAATAAAACAAAAGTTCATTACAAAAATAAACAGTAGAAACTCTGAGTTTGTGGCCAGCCTCAGCTACATGAGATCCTATTACGAAACAAAAACAAGACCAGCAAACAAAAACCAAAAAAGCTAGGCAATCACAAATGTCCTTGAAAACCAAGAGGTGTAAGTATGGGCAGTGCTGCACTGTCCTGGCAGGCCATCTAAAATCACAAATACACCCAGGAGACTTGGTGTGACCTTCTTTTCAAATGAGTCCCTATACATGATGTGCCGTGTTTTCAAATTTTGTTTTGTTTTGCAGTATTGTTTATATTATTCCTTTGCTCTTGGGGATTGTTTTAGTTCTTGTCTCCTTTCTTCCTTTTGTGTCCTTCCTTCCTTTTCTTTCTTTCCTTCCTTTGTTTGTTTATTGTGGTGGGTGATGGTGGGTGGTGGTAGAGGTGGTGGAAACAGAGTGAGATAGCATCTTTCTCTGTAGTCCAGACTGGCCTAGAATGCAGTATGTAACCCAGGGTAGCCCTGAGTTCATGGCAGTCCTGCTTCAGTCTCTCAAGTGTTGCAATTTACAAGTTTGAGCAATAAAGCCTAACTCATTTTTTTTTTCAATGTTTTACAAATAAGCCAATGCCATCTTAACTTTCACACAACTATTTAACTTTAGTAAGCGTGGTTAATAGTAAAAAATGAACAAGAACAAGGTGTTACCAGGTTCAGTGGTCCGTGCATGCCCATAGTCTCAGCACGGGAGGTGCAGAGCATGAGGATCTCAGTGAACTGGAGGCTAACCAGTCCACACAGTAAGTTCCAGGACACGCAGTGGTTAACAGCAAGACACTGTCTCAAAACAAAGACCCAAGGTGTTAAGAGTCTCAGATTTTGATATAACCTTTACCTACTACTTGGGCAGTCATTTAACCTATCGGGCATTTTGTTGTTAATGATATTTTCCATTTGGTGATTGAAAGGAAAATGATAATATGTATGTTTACTTAAAACATATAGTGCAACCAGACATGGTGGTTCATATCTGTAATCCTAGCACCTGGGAGGCTGAGGCAGGAGGAACAGAGGTTAGGACATCCTTAGCTACACAGGAAGTTTGAGACCAGCCTGAGACACATGACAAAAAATGTCTCAAAAACAAATAAAACGTGCCATGGCACAACGGCCAAAACCACATCTCCTATACCCTGTCAAAGGAAAATGCTCAGTGCAGAATAAGTACACGTGCGTGTGTGCGCACACACCTCCTTTTCTTAGGTTCCACTCTGCAGCCTTGATTATCTGCCTCTGCACTTGAATTGTCACCAGGTTGGCCCGGAAGCAGAGGTGATCTTCTTACCTCTGCCTCCCAAGTGCTGGGATTTTAGATGTGTGCCATGACACCTGACTTTCCTCCTCTACTTATTTTTTTTTCCATTCTTCTTTTTCAGTTTGCATACTTGAAGGGTCCTGCTGCCTCTCCTCCCCAGCTCACAGAGGAAGCTCTTCATCACTAAGTCCACTGCTGTTTACCTATCCCAGAAGAGCAGGGTACAAAATGTTTAGAGAAAACACATGTTTTTTAGGGATTTGCCACTACAATAGTAAGTGACTGGAATTACCACTTTCTAACCAATTAAAAAAGAAATCTAAAACTCTGCTCTACAAAGTAATCACAACATGAAAGCATTTATTGAAAACTATTTTTTTTTAATTATTTTAATGTCAGCTGAGACTCCAATTTACAAAAGAGCCAGGAACCTCTATGGGCTTTATTTCCCTACTTACATCAACTTCAGTCTCTTGAAAAAGGACTTAAAAGTTTGGCTCAGGTGGGAGGTGGCGGTAGTGGTAGAGACTGAATAAAAAGGTGGTTTCCAGTTCCTGAAGAGGACATATGGTACTGCCGACATCGGTTCCTCATATGCCAGCTTCCTCCCTCCCTTTCTGTCTGAAGTGGTACAACCCATAACCACCATGCTCCCCCTCTACACACCCCGCAACTGAACCGCCTATGATGTCATAATCACAATCCCATTACCTCATCCTGCTGGTGATGGGGGGGGGGGTGAGGCGGCTAGGGAAAAGAGGGAGTGAATAGTCTCGGGCCCACCTCAGCTTTACAAAGTGTTTTGGATGAGGACAAATTGCAGAACAAGAGGACACAGCCCCGCAACCGTTATAAATCTCAGGTTCATAAAGGCTCCATTATATCCGGCATCTAGAATAGGGGCTCCGCGGAGTCAGAGCAGGCCCTGATTGGCGTTTGGACTACATTTCCCAGCAGCCTTCACGCCGAGGATCCGTCCTTTGCCGGGGGAAGGTGGGGGTATGCTTACAGAAAGGTGGCTGCGTCGGAAGGGACAGGAGACCAGGTGAGAAGGCTGTGGCTAATACTGTTTCGTGATCTGAGTGGAACGAGATGGTTCCGTTGGGGGGATGGGGCAATGGAAGGAGTGGACAATGGCTTTGTTTACCTTTATCCGACATGGCTTCCCCTACGTGCTTCAGGATATGCTTCCAACTGGGCCCGTCCACTTCTTGCGATATGTTGGAGGGGCTGATCAGTTGGTGAGCAAACCATCCCATCCCCAAACCACAGCTCCAGGCTCCTCTCCGACAGTGCTCTTCTGAGGAGCACTCAGGAAGAGACCACGTAGGGCTCGAGCCCCTTCGGGCGGTTCCGGGGTATTCTGCGAGCAGGCGCGATCCCCCCCACTCTCCTCAGAGGCCCGTTGGTTCGTGCCAGTGCCTTTTAAGGGCACCGTGGGGCGAACGGAGCGCTCAGAGCTGCTCCGGCCGCGGCCCTGGGAGCGGGAGGAGCCGCGGTAGGTAGCGGAGGGCAGGTGGTGCTGGGGCCTCGGGGCGGGCGCCGCGACCGTACCTCCCTCTCTCCCCTCCCCCAGCCCAGCCGCCAGTGCGGCGGAGCCTCTCCGGCGGCCTCGGCAGGATAGCACGGGGCCCAGTGGGGGAGGGGGAGGCGGAGTGCATGTCCCAGACCCTCCCCATCCCCTGCGTCCTGAGTTCGTTTCCGCGGTCAGATGGGGAAACCCGAATGGAAATAGGAGAGCGACAGTCCCCCTGAGCAAACCCTGGAGTGCCCCCCCGGGTGCCAGTAGATGTCCCATGCCCCACCCCACAGGGACAGGCAAGGCAACAGAGAGGCTGAAGATGAGAGGGAGCCTAGCTGTTTGCTTTTTCGTCGTAGTGGGGGGATGGGTGCACCCCACTTGTCACCCCTCTGTTCACCAGAACCATATGGAAAAAAAAGCAGTCTAATATCCTCTTACCTTTTCTTCCATCTCCCTGCCTTGCTCATGTTTTCCTTCACTTTCTCCCAAAGGTGTGGGACTGGGAGACGTGGGGGGAATGCCCCCAGGGGATTTGTGACTTTCGTTTCCCGTGGCTTACTGGATCCTAGGTTGTCCAGGTTTCAACACAACCTAAGTATCCCTGGAATACAAGTGTCAGCGGTTGCCTCCATCCAATAGGAGAGAGTGTGTGTGTGTGTGTGTCTGTGTGTGTGTTGGGGGGGGAGGAGGTTCTAGTCGTTACCTTAGGGGGATTGTGGTGGAGGGAGATCCCGGGCTGAAAGTTAGGCCTGGTGGGGTTCCTGGGAGGGCCGAGCGGCCTGCTGCTCAGTGAAGGGCTGAGCCTTGTGTCAGTAATGTTAAGCTGAGAAGTTTTAACTTGTTTAGTGAGATGTTGAGAGCTGTCTACCCTTCAGATATACAAAATGGAAGGGGAGGGAAGGCCGCCAGAGAGGGCTTCTCACACTTTTTTTTTTAATGTCTGCTTGAGAACGAGGAGGCCCCTTGCAGAGCTGGTTTGCCTTCTTTTGTGTCCTGGTTTGATTCCTTATGGCTTCCGTTCTGTTCCCCCTCTCAGCCTGGCCTGTTTTAGGAAACTCGGGCTGAGAGTATCAGTTGCATGGTGGTAGTTGCATTGTTCCAATTACCGCTGTGTGTGGCCACATCCCAACAATTAAAATGCAGAAAAATAGAAAATCACTCTCTTCAGCTGCGCCTAGAGAGGGCTGGGAGTTTGCTGTTTGTCCAAATGCCTCCTGAAAAGCTTGCAAGGCTTTTCACTCCCTGCTCCTCCAGGTCAGCCTGGAGCCTGGGGTCACTCAGGGAAAAGTCTCCACTTCGGCTCCCTTCTTGTTGATTTTTGAGGGCAGAGTTAAAATAGGAGCAGAAGTGATTCAAGTGTTAGCTTCTCCCACCAGAACACAGGGGAGGCAGCTGAAGGGAGGTCTCAGGAGGTTGGAACTTTGGAATGGCAGTCATAATTATGAGTGGAAACGATAGTTAGCTGCAGTGAAGATTGACATCTGCACCTTTCTTTCAAAGAACTCCAGATACATCCTAAGGAACTTTGCTCCTCTTTGTCATCTTCCTTGAAAGTGATACCCTCCTTTTCGCAGGGGGTGGGCACAAGGTCACAGGAGGAAGAGCCCTTAGGCTCTGAGTTGGTGAGCAAATGGAGGATGGCGGCATCCAGGAGTATAGCTAGATCCCATTGCTTTCTTCATCTTAAGGGTACTACCGCAGGCATGCCAATGCTTTGAAGAGCAGCAAAGGGAGAGATGAGAAACCGCAGTCTGTGTGAGCTCCTGTTTTTATAGGCCAGTTGGTAAACTATTGTACATCTTTATATCATGTGGGCCTTATTCTTGTAAGATTGTTAAACCCATTTTACATATGGGTAAGCAAGGACGTTATGTGGTTAGCCAAAACTGTCTGCGCAAGTTAAATTAAGACTAGGCGGTGATAGCAGCTTTTTTCTTTTGTTTTTTTCAGTCAGGGTTTGTAGCTCAGGCTGGCCTTGATGAATTTGTTCCTGCTTTCACCTCCCAAGTGCTAGGATTACAGGTGTGTGCTCAAGACTTGGGTTCCTTGGTTGATTGTCCTGTGTGCTAGTTTAAATCTCCATACACTGATTTGCCTATGGGTCATTTATGGGAGGAAGGAGAACAAAAGACATTGTTAACCTTCACTCTTCCTTTGAGCAAGGCCAAAGCCCCTCAGGTAGGTAATTGTGTGGGGTTTTGAAGCTGCTTTCTAATAAAAATCAGTTTGCTTCAGTCATAAGGAAGAATTTTGGTTAGTTTTATCCATGGTCTTCGAGTGGGATCATGAAAAAAAACTTGGTTGAATGGAGTCCTAAGTTGTTTGTAATATCTGTAGAGTTGATACGTTGATAGAGTTGAAACAGCTGACTACCTGACTATTCCTTCTCATTGTATAAGAGAACACCCACAGTATCTACTGGGAAATAATGATGTATCAGCTGCTCACTTAAAATCCTATTTATTCTGATCTGAAGCAGAAAAGCCAGGCCTTGCTCCTCTCTTTGTACTAAACCCCCGTGGTTTAGGAGAAGGCTTCCTTTCTTGGCTTCTGGCTGTAACATAAAGAGAATATTGTGCTAATTCAGTATGGAAATAACCATTTGGGCATCTCTGTCGTTTGGGCTGTTTTCTAAGTGGTGCTGATATTCTAAGTAAACACAACAGAGCTTAAGCCAGGTTAGGAATGGTAAATAGGTTTCAATTTGTTTGCCAACTCCAGTTTATTTTACTGGATATCTGGAGTGCCAAGTTCAGAGTGTTTCTGAGGCTGTCTCTAAGCTTACCAGGAAAGTGCTATGATCGATTAGCAATGTCTGCCAGAGGCCTGGGATGGGGATACTGTGGTAGGTTTGCCATGTAGTCTCCATCCCTGGCCCAGGGACATCTCTACTGCTACTTAGGCTGATCCCTCTGTGATTGGCAGGCTCAGCAGGCATGACTGGAGAGGGAAGTCCCAATGGTGCTAGAATGGTGCTGCGGTGGCAGAAGACGGCTCACGAGTGAGATCTGGAAGAACAACAGGGAAGATATCCATCAATTGCTCCAAAGTGTGCAAGTCAGATCCTGGGCAGAAACATGATAACTCTGATCACTGAGCAGCTACAGAAGCAGACTCTGGATGAGCTGAAATGTACACGCTTCAGCATCAGTCTGGTAAAAGACCAGGATTTGGGCTTTTTGGTGATACTCCCCATTTTTTCGGAGGGTGTTTGTTGCTACAATTTTACCCTTGTTCTGTGTTGTATGAAATGTACTTGTAACAGAAAAGGCCACTAACAGCTTAAAACCCAGCCCAAAAGGAAGGCGGCAGGAACAGTAAAACTTGGGTGAAAAGGGCTTTGTAATGTCTGAAGGTGTGGATTGTTTTTCACCACCTTGGGAAGACAATAGAAAGACAACAACACAGGAATCTCTAATACCCTGATAGCCCGTGAATTATAGGAAGAATATAAGAGGTCTCTCTAGAAATGTTCTTGTCCTGAACCCAAATAATGATAGATAATCTCTCTCTTAGCCTTTGCCTGATCATGCAGACATATCCAACTGTGGGAACCCTTTCCAGCTTGTGTCTGGTAAGGAATCTGGTTTGTAATATGTTTGTTTGTACTTATGTCCACACATTTCTTTCATTGATTTAATGACCAGACCTGATTACCCTACTTCTAGTTTTTGTGGTGGTCTTTTTATTTTATTTTGTTTTGTTTTGTTTTTTGTTTAAGACAAGATCTCACTATGTAGACCAGGCTGGCCTTGAAGTCACAAAGATCTCTTGCCTCTGCCTCCAGAGTGCGAAGATTAAAGGTGTCCTGCTACCACACCAGCTTGGATTTTGTTTGTTTGTTTGTTTGTTCGAGACAGAGTTTCTATGTTTTACAAACTGTATCTAGCCTCCGCTCTCCTAGAATTTGCTCTGTAGAGTAGGCTGCCCCCGAAGTGCTGGGATTAAAGGTGTGCATCACCAGTGCCTAGCCACCAGCTTGTTCTTCTGTTTTGTTTTTGTCAGTGCCAGCTTCTGAGAGTGCTATTTTGTCTCTATTTTACTGTCCTGTAGGAAAATCATGTTTAGTGTGCTCTTATATTTAAGGCTTGTAGCCCAGGCTGTCCTAGAACTCTTAACAGTATTGCTCCAAGTGCTAGGTTCCAAGTGTGAGCCTAGATCAGTTTAATTTTTCTTCTAACTTTGAAGAGCTAACACCTTTACATAGTTTAAACACAGAAAACATAGTATGTTGATAGAAGTCATCCTTTTCTGTTTCCAGTCCACCTAGCTCCTAGCTCCTCCCCAAGAGTAACTTTTGGACACTGAGGCTCAGTGATAGGGCGTTTGGCTGGCATGTGTGAGGCCCTTTCTTTGCTCTTAAGAACTATGTATGGCATGGAGAGACTCCTGTTATTAGTTTTTTTATTTTGTTTCTTATTTTTACATTCATTATATAAAGTGTATGCACAATTGTGCTACAGTGTGTGGTCAGAGAACAAGCTGTAGGAATCTGTTCTCTCCCACCACATGGGTCCCAGAGATGATTGCACTCAGGTCATTAGGTTCGGCTTGAAGCACCTTTACACTTTGAACCATTTTATTGACCTATAAGTTTCTTACTCCCTTTTCCACATTGGTGGGGGTGGGGTGGGGTGGGGACTATGTACGAATAGACATGGAGATGAAGGACAGCTTTCAGGAGTTGGTTTTCTCTCTTTCTACCATGTAGCTCCTAGGAATTGGGACTCGAACATAAGGCCTTATAGCAAGTACATTTATCTGTTGTACCCTCTTGCTTAGGGCCTGTTAACTAGTTTCTTTTACACATATCCAACCAGATTTTTTTTTTTCAGTAGTGGTTGGGATTGAACCTAGGGCCGAGACATACTGAGCAAGCACTCTGTTACAGGCTGCATCTCCAACTCTCTTGTTTTTACATAGTTGAGGCTGGTGTTGAATTCCTGATCTCTGCCTGTACTTCCTGAGTGCTGGAATTACAGGTGTGTGCCACCATGCTTAGCTTACTTTTTTTTTATTTTGAGATAAGGTTTGTTTGTGTGTTTTTTGTTTTTTTTTTCCTCACAGACTGGCTTTGAATTTGTAATCTCCTATCTCAGCCTCTGGGATTACAAGTCTGTGCCACCAGGCCGAGCTCACAGTGTCTAGTTCTTTAGATTATATTTATAGAGGGGTGGGAGTATGTAAATACCATGGCCTGTGAGGGTCAGGTTGGTTCTTTCACTGTGGAGGTCTCAGGAATGGACTCAGGTCATCAGCCTTGGCAACAAACACCTTTATTCTCTGAGCCATCTCTTTAGCCCCTGGATTTCTATGTACGAGTAGAAGTGAATAGAGGTTTATTTTCATGATTACTTTTTTGGCACAGAAGGCTTTTTGCTATTCTGTGTTTCAGTAAAGTTTAGTGTGCTTTGAGTCACTAGCTTACTTAAATTCCTATTGATGTGGATGGGGGAAGTTTGCAGGCTTCTAATTTTAGGGTGTGTGTGTGTGTGTGCATGTATTATATATCACATGTATGTATGGATACAAAAACGTGCACTGAAGTCAGAGGAAGGGCTCATATATTCTGTTCTATCTCTCTACCTTGTTCCTTTGAGACAGTCTTTCCCTGAACCTGGAGGTAGGCTGGCAGCCAGCAAACGTAGTGATCCTCCTGTCTCCACCTTCCAGGCTCCTGTGTGATGCCTGGCGGTTTGTGCTAGGATGCTAAGGCTGGTCCTCACGCTTACACAGCAAATGTTCTCACCTCCTTAGCCACCTTAGACACAAATGCTCTGTTCCTTACACAGAGCTGTAGTGACTTTGTCACTAAGTCACTTTTGATAGGTGAGAATACATCGGAAATGTAAATCCCTAGATTAGGAACTAATCTAAGCGCCTATGATCACAAGCATAACTAAGACAACCAGAACCTTTAACCTGTGTTACTGGGCAGCTACACATCCTTTCCTGGGGGTACCTGGCAAGGGAGGTGAGTTGGCAAAGCAGCTACATTCATTCTCTTTCTCTGAAGTACTTGTTGAAAGCCAGGTATTACACCATAAGAATGCACAGTCCCTGCCTTAGGAAGGTTAGTAAGGGGAAGAACTGTTGCCCACATAACTTCTGTCATAAAGTCTGACTTCATATACTTTGATTTATGCCTTTTCTAGAGAATTCTTGAAAAAACTTGGATAGACTCATTCTCCTGCAGTGAGCTGTTTCCCCTAAATCACCCTTACATGGGAGGATAGAGGCAAGAGGTCGAAGCAGCACTTAGGAGGTAGGGGCAGGAGGATAAAAGATGTTCAATGTCAGCAGTGGCTATATTGCAAGTTTGACGCTGGTTTGGATTACATGAGACTGTAACAGTAACTTTTATTCTCCCGAGGTGTCTTGGAGCCTATTGCCTGTCTCCTAATCTAGGCCTGGTCCTGGAAGCTTCTAGCCTCGGTACCATTTAACCTAGGCCTAGAATGTTTCAGCCTTTGAGACTTACTGCTTAATAAGTTCACCCTTGTTCTTTCTGAGCACAAAGCTGGCTGGTTCAATTCAGCTGCTCTGGCTAAAACTTCCCAGCTGACTGATTCAATCTAGCTTCTCTCTTGGCCCCATAAGTGCTCTGCTTGGCTTCAAACTAACTCCAACAATCTTTTCTAATCTTCTGCTCATTCTCATTCTCTGGCTTGTTCCCTCTTCACCTGTATTCTCTCTTTCTGTGACCTGTCTTTGTATTACTGTTCTAGTAAAACTGCCTCCTCACTCTGCATTGTCCCTTAAATAGCTTCCCTTTCCTCTCTCTTCTCATGAAAGATGGGTGTATCTTATTCTGTCAAATCTTCTCTAATTCGTCACCTTTTCTGCCACTCAATTAGACATCACTTTCAAACATGGGTGCTTCCTTCTACAAACTAACTTTACCTTACCACCACGCCTGGACCTAAGCTTTTCTTTACCTGAAACTTGCTCTATATCAGGCTGGCCTTGAACTAATATTTGCTTGCCACTGTCACCTAGATTAAAGGGGTGTTTATATTTCAGCTGGATCACACAGATCTAGAAGGTCTTTGGATGTGATCTCTTGCCAGAACAGCCATGTTCTGAATTAAAGTTCCTTTACAAGAGACCCTGTCTCAAAAAAAAGTATAATTTTGGAGGACTGGGAAGATGGTTCAGTTGGTAAAGTGCTTGCATTATAAGTGTTTGAACTTGTTAGGGTCCCCAGTATCTGCAGAAAAGCCAGGTGTGGCAGCAGAGTATAATTGTAGGGAGGTAGAGCTAAGTTAGCCAGCCAGCCTATCCAAATTGATGAGAGTTCCTGCTGAAAACAAAACAAAAACAAAAAAACAAGACCAGGTGGTGGCGCATGCCTTTGATCTCGGCACTTGGGAAGGCAGGCAAATCTCTGAGTTTGAGGCCAGCCTAGTCTGCAGATTCCAGGAAAGCCAAGGACAGACAGAGAAGCCCTGTCACAAACAAACCAAAAACAGCATTGCCTTCTGAGATCCCGATGATGCATAAGAAGGGAAAAAGGCCAGAGAAGGAGAACATAGGCCTGATTTTCAGAACTTAGGCTAGCAGCAAGAAAGGTTGGGTTGTAGATAGGTCTGGTCTAGGAGAGTGGGCCATACACACAAATCTTTGTTTGTTTGTTTTGTTTTATGTTTGTTTGTTTTGTTTTTTGAGACAGGGTTTCTTGGTGTAGTCCAAGCTATCCTTGAACTCACCCTGTAGACCAGGCTGGCCTGGAACTCAAGAGATTCACCTGCCTCTGTCTTCTGAGTTCTGGGATTAGAGGTGTGCACCAGCACCAGCCAGCTCATGCAGATTTCTTGACGATTGCATCTTTTGAGAGGAAGTGGCAGTCAGTGTATAAATGTTATTCATTCCAGGTGGGTTCTTTTTGTTTTGGTTTGTTTGTTGTTTCGTTTTTTGTTGTTGTTTGTTTTGCTTTTTGGTATTTTGAGAGAGGGTTTCTCTGTGTTGCCTTGGTTGTCCTGGACTCCATTGGTAGACCAGGCTGGCATTGAACTCACAGAGATCTGCCTGCCTCTGCTTCCCAAGAACTGGGAGTATAGGCGTGCGCTTGCTTCTTCCAACTTTCAGGTGGGTTCTTGGGATGAAGGTAGCATAGTAAGGTGTGAATCCTGTTTTGTTCATTTAATAACTATGCTTTAGAACAAGTTAGGCTGCTGTCACCTTGGAACAGGATAATCACAGTACCTCCTTCGTTGAAAGTTTTGTTAAACTACGTGAAGTTTTCATTACATTATATGGTACATAAGCTCTTAGAGAATGTTAGCTGTTAACACTTTTTATTATGAATGCCTTTTCAGAAGGTGCTTCCTGGAGGGGCCTGCCCCACTGTTCCTGTGCTGAGTTCCAGGACAGCCTCAACTTCAGCTACCACCCCTCAGGCCTAAGCCTGCACCTCAGACCGCCCAGTCGGGGGAACTCCCCCCAGGAGCAGCCCCTCTCCCAAGTCCTGAGCCCTGAGCCCCCAGACCCAGAGAAGCTTCCTGTGCCCCCTGCCCCTCCATCCAAGAGGCACTGCCGCTCACTCTCGGTGCCTGTGGACCTGTCTCGCTGGCAGCCAGTGTGGCGGCCTGCCCCCTCCAAGCTGTGGACTCCTATCAAGCACCGGGGCAATGCTGGAGGGGGTGGGCCGCAGGTGCCTCACCAGAGTCCCCCCAGGCGGGTCTCCAGCCTCAGGTTCCTCCAAGCTCCCAGTGCCTCTTCTCAGTGTGCCCCAGCCCACAGACCCTACAGCCCTCCTTTCTTCAGCCTGGCCCTGGCCCAAGAGTCTTCTCAACCCTGCGCCGCCTCCCCTCAGAGCGGTTCTTGGGAGAGCGATGCCGAGTCCCTGTCACCCTGCCCACCACAGCGCCGCTTCTCCCTGTCACCCAGCCTGGGCCCACAGGCAAGCCGCTTCCTGCCCTCTGCCCGGAGCTCCCCTGCATCTTCCCCAGAGCTGCCCTGGAGACCCCGAGGTCTCCGCAACCTTCCCCGAAGCCGCTCTCAGCCTTGCGATCTGGATGCCCGCAAAACTGGTGTCAAGCGGCGTCATGAAGAGGACTCCCGGCGCCTGCGGCCTTCCTTGGACTTTGACAAGATGAATCAGGTGGGACTGGTAGACCAGATGACTGTTTAAACGCCTCTCTCCATACCTTCCTGGCAGGGCCTCCCAGGAACCCCTGTCTAAAGTTTATACAAGACCACCATTCTGGAACTAGTGAGTTTTAACCTTTAAAGTTTTCTGCCCTGTCATATTAGTCCTTGGTGTTCCAAAGAAACTAGGCTGAGACAGTAAACCTTCAGACAGGGATCCCTAACTGTCTTGCCGCAGAGGCACTTTTGCAGAGATCCGACTGCTTCCCTGGTGCTAGCATTAAATGTGGGGAACTGGGGTTCTATCCTCAGAAAATGTACATGTACACTAAATGTTCCAAATTTTATGATTTGGGACCTCACTCCAAAGCTTAGAATTTCTACCTTCAAGTCTAACTGGGAGGGGCACTTTAAAATTTATATTTGGAGGGCCAGAAGAGATGACTCAGTTTTTAAGAGCATGGGCTGTTCTTCCAAGGGACCTGAATTTGATTCCTAATATCCACGTAGTGGCTAACAACTAAGTTTCAGAGGATTTGATGGCCTCTAATGGCCTCTTCAGGCATTGTAATATGCAGGTGACACACACACACACACACACACACACACACAGGCAAAACACCCATACACAGAAAATAGAAAATGTACTTTTATTCTCATTTATTTATTTTATTCACTTTATATTCTTGTAGCCCCTTCCCCATCCCGTCTTTCCCTTTTCTCAGAAAAGGGGAGCTTCTTTTTCTATCCATCCCAGCGCTTCAAGTTGCATCAGGACTGAATGTGTCCTCTTCCCCTGTGGCCTGGCAAGGCAGTTTTGCCAGGGGAAATCTAAACTTTTTTAAAATTTTACTTTAGGTTACTTTAGGAAATTAATCTTCGTTTTAACTTTGTTGACAGAAACCATACTCAGGAGGTCCCTGTCTCCAAGCAACAGCTCGAGAAGGCAGCAGCGTCTCTCCGCCGTGGTTCATGGCCTGTAGCCCCCCACCTCTCTCTGCTTCTTGCAGTCCTGTTGAGGGTTCATCCCAGGTGCTGAGTGAAAGCGAAGAGGAGGAAGAGGGGTCCGTGCGGTGGGGACGGCAGGCACTGAGCAAGCGGACATTGTGCCAGCAGGACTTTGGGGACCTGGACCTGAATCTGATCGAGGAAAACTAAAACTGAGAGGCTGCTTCCTGGGCCCCACAGACTGACTGTCTAATGGCTACTAACAAGTGTGAAGGCTCCAAGGCTGAGGGCCCAGCCTGGGAAAGGGGGTGAGTGGAGGGCTCCGACTCAGGGCAGCCGAAGTCTGCTCCAGCAAGCTCGACCATGCCAAGAGACTGGCGGGGACAAGATAAATGGAGCTGGTGGCGGGAGGGACGGCCACAGAGCAGACCCTCCTCATGGCGGCCCTGAGTGTGAGTACCCCTGCCACTGAGAGAGCAGTGGGCAGGGAAGGAAGGGGTCTGCTGACCCCAGCTCGGGGAATTTCACTAGCCCCTTTGCTTCAAAGGGCACTTGTGTCTTAGAATTTGGCCAGGGTGGGGGGGGTTCTGTCAGCCTCCTCAGAGAAATTGTGTGAGTGCGTGTGTGTGCATGGGCGTATACTTGAGGAATGGTGTGTTTGTGTAGCCTTAGGGAAGGAAGGCAGGTGCTCCTTTAACAGCAGAGCATTAGAATGCCCCAGAATCTTGTTTCTTTCTTTCTTTTTTTTTTTTTTTTTTTTTATTAAAAAAGAATGACATTGGGATTGGGCTTGTTCAAGGTATCAAGAGGAGAGAGGGCTCTTTTTTTTTGGGTCTTAATAGCTCTGGAGCCAGGCTTTTAAGTTCATATTATCACTGTTCTCTGCAAATGGTTCTGTTCTGGGGTCCAGCAGAATCTTTTGAGTAGGGTGACCTCAGCTAATGGTCTTTTCTTCAGCCCCACCCTCTTCCACTAGATAAATCTAGTATTGAGGGCTGGGAAGGCTATGGCGTTCATCATTTCATCAGATTGTCTAAGCTGTGTGCAGCCTGCCTCTTGTTCTCTGAGTAGGTGCAAACGTGGGTGACTGAGGCAGACCTGAGGGGCCCCATCTCTCATTTCTTCGCCAAGGGGACCTTTCGTTTTCTGATTTTTCAAGTCAGAGACAGTGTTGATCCCCAGAATATGTTGCGGCAGACCTGCAGCAGGAACAGTGACATCGAGTCAGCAGAAGTCCTGGATCCCACCCCAGCACTGCTGTTGGGAGCTGGCTATAAGGGAAACTTATTCTTGCAAGATTCAGGCCCAGTCTCTTCCTGATCTGCTTGAGAAAGAAGGAGGGGTGTTCAGCATTTAATAGTTTGCCTGTCTTCCACTCTTCCCAGGAAATGTTTATTTGCCTCTAATTGGCCCTGAGAGACCACAGAGAGGCTGGGGCTCACTAAGGGCCTGGCTGGGATATGTAAAGCAAAGGCTATGAGAAGCAGCTGGGAGTTTGTTGTTGTTGGATTGAATTTCCTTTTTTGTTTCTTACCCACAACTTCAGCCAGAGCAGCAATGGCTAGAGTGATGGATTTAAAGTTTGCAGATGCCTTGGTAGGTTTGCCACCAGCAGGCATGCATGTAGAAGCCACCGGTATTGCAGTCTGCGACGCTTTGTTTAGAACACCCTGCATAACGAAATTGGACCTGCCCTTCCTGTTTATTATAGTAAGGGCATTTTTCTGTTCAAGTTTCACGATTTCTTAGGGCCCAATTCTGAATGTTACAGAAGACAACCAAGGTCATGTTCTTTCTTCCTTGTGGGATTAAGCCTGATGTTTAATGTCTCCCACATATTAATAGGAATACTATTGAGGCTTCAGACTCTTTGCCTCTACTTCAGGGGAGGTAGCCATGTTTTCTTGAGCCTATGGCCCTCAGAGGTTCTACCCTTCCAGGGCTCCTCCCTATCTCCTGGCTAGTTACCACATATTACCACTGGGCTACCAGTCTCTAAGGGCCTAAGAGAGGCTCTCTTGAGAATCCAGGGAAACTGAGCCCAGGAGTTATCCTAGGTTTCATCTTTCCCTGGTCTCTCTCTTTGGTCCATAATTTCCCTGGTGCCAGCTTCTTTTCCACCTGGGGCATCCTCATCCCTGGGCTCTCTGCTGCAGATGGCAGTGCCAGCCTCCAGTAGGTCACTGGCAATGCCAATGGGGTCTCTCTGTGAGCCCTAAGTTTAAGTGAAGGCAGGGATTCTGCCTCCACCCTGGCTTTCCTGAAGCCTTTAGGTCACTACCCTTAGGAAAGGAGGCCTACAATTGTCATATTTTGATTCCATTACTTTAAGTCTGGAATGTTAAACTAGGCAGAACTATCATCTTGCTTCCCAGTTTAAATGCCTCTGGCCCTGGAACAAGCCTTTTCAAGACGTGAATCATTTGCTTTACACAATAGATCTGTTCCAACAGTTCTGTGTAAAGCAAACGCTATTTTTTAATGCATTTGGACTGCTGACCATTTAAAAGCAGCCTCTGATTGCTTCTTTTGTAAAGCAACCTCCCTCTACTTTAGCCAGTCTCATGATTTGGGTTTTCACATATTGGGCTTACCCAGAGTGGAGCACACCTCCGGGGCTTGTGGCTGCTGCTGTGTAGACGTCTGCATCTGTGCTGCGTGTGTAGTGTGGCTGGCCAGTAGGTGAGTATTACTGCGTGTGTGAGTGAAGCCGCTCCCAGGCTGATGCTCTCCTCCTGTGCCCGGTGACTGCCCAATGGCAGCCCCTGCTGCCCCTCATCCCACCTGCTGCCAAAGTCCCTGTGCTAATGGGATTACAGAAACAAAATGTGGAAAAAAATTTTTCGTAAACTTTGTTTTATATTAAAAAATCCATAAGTTTGTGTGTGTTTAAACATGAGGTTCTGCCTCTGTGGCTGTGTTTGAAAAAATAAAGTTTTATTAGAATAATCCATTTTCCCAAGCAACCTTGTGTACTATAGTGTCTTTTTCTTTTAAGCGCACACACATACACAGAGAGAGAGAGGGGAAGAAAGAAGTCCACCTAACTTGCTAGTCCCTTTAAGGCATGGTCAGGCCATTCCAGAAGGGCAGTACCTGGTTGCTAGACCCTTCTATGATCAGACCCTGTTGCCTGGGATTCTGTCAGTATTGGCTTGGTCCCGGTTTCCTGATTTATGTGTCTCTTTCCTGATAACACTCTTTTTTTTCCAGCTGGTTAAAGTCAAGTACTCATACATTCCAGTTCCCTGAGATATGCTTCATGGTACAGTATAGTTAGAAACTTGACGGGGTTGATTCATACGCTTTGGATGGTGGGAGAAGACAGAAAGGAATCTCTATAAGAGTTTTCAAAGTTAATAAAATGTAACTAATAATAAAAATTAAAAGTTTTCATATGCTAATATGTTGGAGAGATGGAGATTTAGTCATCAGAATTCAGATGCCAAAGACCTGGGTAACTTCTCCATCTTAAAAATCTTGTTTGCAAAATTATGCTAACAGCAAAACTCCTTTGTCCTAGAAAAGGACATGTTCCCTAATGGCTTCTGCTGTTTCCTGAAAAAAGTGTTGCTTAAGTCTTGACTTTCCTATTCCACCCTTCTTATGTTAACATTTTTCTAATGTGTATGGATGAACTACAGCTTAGAGAGCCATGTAAGGGCCTCTGCCCATAAGTTTAGCCTTTCTTTACCAGGCTGCAGGAAGACTCAAGTTGCTTCGCTTATGTCCTACTTTCCTGAGTCAAATATGTGGTTCTCATCTTGGAATACCAATGAAGTGTGCAGAGCAGGATTGGCCAGGCTCCCCGGAGCAGGAACCTTTGGATGAAATTATACTCTAGAGAGTAGAAGTTGCCACCTGCCCTGGAAACAAAGGAGGGGTTAACTGAAATGCCATTGCCATTGCCCTTTGTTTTGTTTGTTTTTTACTTTTAGTTTTATAGTTGGTTTTTAAAGGTTTTGTGTGTGTGTGTGTGCACGCATGTGCATGTGTGTGGTACTGGGGGGAAAATCTTGTACACAGGTGAATATTCTCTCCACTATATCCCCAATTTCATGGTTCTGTTTTTCTGTTAATTTTCTGTTAGGTCAGATGTGTTAAACAGTTTCATTGCTGAAGTCTCTTATAGGAAAGAAATGTAAATTTTATGACAGGGATTGTTTTATTCAGTGTAGTGGCCTCAGCTGTTAAAAGTATATTTTATTTGATGTAATGACCTGCTCATAGGCTTACTGCCTCCATCTGCTAACCTAGGCCTAGTCCTGTCTAGCCTCCATGCAGTCTCATCTAGGCCTAAATGTTTTCAGCCTCTGAGATTTACTGCTGAATAAGCTCATCCTTTTCAGTTCTTTCTGAACTCTGGCTGGCTGGTTCAACTCAACTATCTGACTCAAAATGCCTCTCCAAGCTGACTGATTCAAACTGGCTTCTCTCAGGTTCTGACTGAATTGCTCTGTTTGACCTTACTAACTTTGGCAACATGTTCTAATCTTTTGGCCCCTTCTCATTCTCTAGTTTGTTGTGTCTTCACCTGTGCCTATCTTTTTTATCTCTGCAACCTGTCTCTGTACAATTGTCCTGGTAAAACTTGCTTGTCTCCTTTCTCTCCCTCTGTGCTGGCTTCTTTTTTCCTATCTCTTCTGGTGAGAGTCTCCTATCTGTAGCCCATTCTGTTCTCTGATTTGTCACTTTATCTTTTCCCTCATTTAGACATCACTTTCCAACATCCAGTGCTTCCTACTGCAAACTTAACTTTACCTTTACTGTTTGGGATTAAAGGTACATCCTAAGGGTGTGTCTTTATTCCAGCCACAGTGATTAAAGGTGTGTAGCACATCTGCATTCCAGCTGGATCACATAGACTAGGTCTACAGATGTGATCCTTTGCAACAGCAGCCATGTTTTCTGGATTAGAATTCCTCTACACTCAACACTTTGGAAATTTCCTGGCATAAACGAAAAAGTACCTCTTTTGTTGGATTAATTTCTCCTTTGCCCACCCCATCCCCAAGTTTAAATATAGTGGTCACTGGTGCTGTTGAAAATCAGCGCTAGGCCGGGCGTGGTGGTGCACAGCTTTATTCCCACCACTCAGAAGGCAGAGGCGGGCAGATCGATAGGAGTTCAAAGCCAGCCTGGTCTACAAAGTCAGGCCAGGATAGCCAAGGTTACACAGAGAAACCCTGTCTCGAAAAAAAAAGAAAAGAAAACTAATATTAGATACTGGGGCAGTGATTATAGCTTCATATTGGGAGG